AGGATGTCGTGGAGTTTCCGGAGCCAAAGTTACATGATGTAATAACTGCGACACTGTCTCTTACTGCGGCCGTCGAGAAGCTTCAGGGATCGCCTCTCATGCGATTAACATGGAAGCTTATGGAGCTGACTCCGAGCATGCGTCGTGCGCGGAAAATCAAAGATGCCTGCATCCTCAGAGAGCTGGAACGTGCGGTAGATCATCTGGAAACGTCAGATCAACGCGTTCAAGACCATAGTGACGAATCTCAACCGGCAGTTCGTTCGGCTGTAGATCACATGGTGCAACGCGAGAAACAACTGGCCGAGAAGGAAAATAGAGCTCCTCAGTACTTCTCGCCCACAATGACGATCGAGGTAAGCACCGGAAGAGACGAGTATCGGCGATCCCTTAATGTGTACTCTCATGAGACTTCCTCAAAATTCCGATGTTTTTTTCTAACAATTTGTCCAGACATTTGGCTTTGTCATCGGAGGCCATGAAACCACTAGTACAACACTATCATGGGGTCTAAAAGCCATGACCGATAACCAGAGTCCTCAGGCAAAATTACGATCCATCCTCCAGGCATCTTTTACCTCAGCCAAGTCTGAAGGAAGAAACCCTACTGTGGAAGAAATCACTGGTACTGACATTCCCTACCTCGACGCCGTCATTGAAGAGATTCTCCGCCATAGTGGGACAAGCCCTGCTATAGACCGCCAGGCCATGACCGATACCCAGGTGCTGGGTCACCATGTACCAAAAGGTACCATTCTGCTGATGCTCACGCAAGCTCAAAGTATGAGACACCCTGCCTTTGACATCGACGAGAGCCGCCGCTCTCAGAGTTGCCAAACAGCCAAGCTACAGGGCAGATACCGTATGGAGTGGGACCCGCAAAACATGAACGTATTCGAGCCTGAAAGATGGCTTGTTACAGATGAAGATTCTCCGTCTTCGGACATGAAGAAACATTTTGATCATAATGCTGGACCAATGCTTTCCTTCGGGCTCGGGTTGCGAGGCTGCTATGGCAGAAGATTGGCTTATCTTGAGCTGAGGATCTTGATAACGCTGATAGTGTGGAACTTTGAGCTTCTGCCGGGTCCGAAAGTGCTATCTTCGTACGCGGTTAAGATGGGCGTCACGAGCAAGCCAAGGGACTGTTATGTGAGTTTACGCAAGGTCAAACTGAATGCGAACTAAAACCGGACGAAAACATACCGGGTGGTAAAGCTTGATTGGGTATGCGTATAAAGCTATTACGAAGCGTCTAATGTTCCATGCTATTTCATCTCTTACTAAACATTACTGGCATTGTCTTTACTGTTTAGATCATTCTAGATAGCTAGAATTCCACGTTGTGGTCAGTTCTAAAAACGCAGGCACCCCTATCTTCATTGGCCTCGTCACAATGCATGTCTAATTGGAAACCAGCAATCGATCTGGACACCGAAGAAGGACCGAATGATGGTATCGTACGTGATATTACCCTGGAGGAGCAATCTACCGTGAGGCCAGGATTCCAAGACTTCTTATCGCATCCACTACGAAGAGCTGAAATAACCCATGCCACGTCATTGACAAGATTACTATTACGTTTGTGTTTCGAAGTATAAGAGTTGCACATGAGTTCAGAGTTTCTAGAGCGCATACGCTATCTTGGAATATTGGAAGATCACTGTTACCATCAACTCCATTCGACTTCACGACGCCTCGTTTTCAAGTCTGCGGCCACAATGTCTACTTCAATGCCTCTTCTACCGAGCTCGCAAACTGCAATCGTTGAGGACTCTGCAGGACAGCCAATTATCAGCCACAACGTTTCCATTCCTCAACTCCAGCCCAACACCCTCCTAATTAAGACCATCGCCGTAGCCATAAACCAATGCGATCACAAGATGGGGACCAATTTCCCCACTCCAGGCGCCATCATCGGCTCTGATTTCGTCGGAAAGATAGTACGCATGGATCCGTCGGTTGCAACAGTGCGCCCAGACCTGATGCCAGGAGACACAGTCTGCGGCTACATCCACGGCTCAAACCCAGCTGAGCCGGGCAATGGAGCTTTTGCAGAGTATCTACGAGCGCACGCACAATTAGTTTACAAGGTTCCAGAGAGCATGAAGCCGCTAGAGGCGGCAGCGATAGGCGTTGGGCTATTGACTTCCGCATTGTCCCTTTGGAAGGCCATGGATTTACCTGCGTCGCCCGAGAAGCCGCTATCATCTGATAGCCAACCTGTTTACGTGCTTGTATATGGGGCAAGCACGGCTTCTGGCACGATGGCTTTGCAGCTGTTACGACTGTAAGAAAGCTTCAAGTGAATCAAAGATAGATTCATATCGCTAATTCTTCGTGCAGATCTGGATACACGTCCATAGCTACCTGCTCACCCCAGAATGTCGACCTGGTCAAATCATACGGAGCGTCGCACGTATTCGACTACGCAGACCATGACGTGTCCAACAAGATCCGGCAGTTAACCAGCAACAAGCTAGTGTATGCACTTGACTGTGTGACGGACAATTTCTCGGTCGCCTGCTGCTACTCCACTATTGCTCGTACGGGGGGCCGGTACATCACTCTAGAGCTGTGTCCCGGAGAGATGCGACCGAAGCGCAGAGCCGTCAAGCATGATTGGATCTTTGCGCTGGATATCTTTGGCAAGCCCATCCCTCTGAGCAAAGGCTATGAAAGACAAGCTAGCCCTGAAATGTTTGAGTTTGCGGTACGTTGGTATGCGGTCTTTCAGAAGCTTATTGACGAGGGGAGCATACGTGCTCATCCATTGCAGGAGCTGGAGCGGGGATTCAAAGGGGTTGTTGAAGGAGTTCGCTTGTTGAAAACGGGATCTGTTTCTGGGAAGAAATTGGTTGGCTTCCTCGAGTGAGAAAGGCAATTGATACCAACTGTAACAATGAATTATGGCACTATTGCAGCGTTTTCGTCTTTCATGTTGATACCCTTTCTCTGTGAACACCTAGGGATGTGCCTGGGCCATCCATGATCGTTACTAACAGCCTGCTGAATACAGTGACTCGAGTCTCTCCGTGACCGAGCTCGAAACCTGAAGTGAGGCTTCAGAATCGGTCTCACCACCCCGAATGACTGCCAAAGGCAATCAATTCAACTGCCGTGCTAAGACCTTAGCTGAATGTCGACTTACCAGCATCGTTCTAGACCATCAAAACGAAACAACGTCTACGCGTTATACTATGTTCAATAGATGACCCTCCATGCTCGCTACACCCTACATACTTACTACATACCACGTCAGCACCTCTAAACGAACTATAGCGCCCAACTCGACGGGGGTATCTTCTAGTGTGGGGTTCACTACACCACTCACCACGTACCGCTTCAGGGTCCGTTCGGACACTCGCTCGGCAGCGCCCGCGCGGCATCGGAACCCAGCCCGACCACTGTGTAACCGACCTGTAGCGCCCACTTCGACGGGTTTGATCTTATGATGTGGGGTTCATTACACCACTCACCACGTACCGCTTCGAGGTCCGTTCGGACACTCACTCGGCAGCGCCCGCGCGGCATCGGAACCAAGCCCGACTAAACGGCCGGTAGCGCCCACCTCGACGGGCGGGATCTTTCTGGTGTGGGGATAGCGCCAGTGTTGGCGGAGTTATCCGCTTTTACTATACCGAGAATGTGGTACATTGGGCGTGTACAAGGTACCACCGAGATATCGCCTAAGATTCGGTCCTTCTGGTGACGGGACGCGATCACGGCATGCATGTTAATGAACTTCGGGATCAGGCTAATGCCGCATTTAAACTGTTTCTTGAAGTTTTGGAGAAAGCGTAACCTTCGTATTCGGACTGCTGCTGCGGGTAGATCCGATTGGTTGTACGAAAGTGTAGATCACTTAACGACGCGAATGTGTTCTCGTCCGTACTACGACCGTGTATTCACCCTGGTTCTAGACTAAGCCATTAGCGTGGTGACAAAGTATCTTGTCGGTTTACCCTGGCTATCTACAGTGTCGTGGGGCCTACACGTTGCTTCGGCCCTAGATATTCTTGCTTTGTTGCAAATGCTCGAATCTCTCGTTAAAGAAACGAAAAAAGAAAATTGTACATGCCAGAATCAGCATTCATGTTTTTGTTACCCAGTAACATCATTCAGTACCAGCAATGGTCTTCAATTGTTTATGGGGCTTGCATAAGCATCCTTCTTCTTGTCGGTCTGCGGATAGCTACACGGCCTTCGCTACCAAAAGACGCACCTAAATTAGTCAAGGAGAACCTACCCATTCTAGGATCATTGCGCTTCTTCAAGAAAAGAGGAACGTTCTGCAGAGATGCTGCTTCAGCTACCAAGACGGGAAACTATAGTTTCTATTGCGGAAACTACCCTGTCGTAGGTGTATCGGGACTCCAAGGCCGCAAAGCCTTCTACGAGTCTAAAGACTTCAGCTTGGCAGACGGGTATGTCTAACAATTTAACGCCCAAAAGAGAGCCTTAAAGTTGCAGTCCTATTGATCTTTTATCGTTGTAGTTACGCAGCCTTGCTCACTGCTACCCCCGATGTCAACTCAACGGAGAATGGAATCAAGTTCGACGCCTGGTTCGCTAAGAAGCTCATCAAGCACTTCAAAAAAGAGAATTTGGCCAGAAGTTTACCCTTTCTAATGAGCGATGCCTTGTCCGCGCTTGAATGGATTTCGGTATCTGGCGACACTAGAGGCGGCATGTTCGACCCTTTCGAGGAGATGAATCGCATAGTATACCGCCTTACTATGCGCTCCGTTGGTGTGAAGGAGATTGTTGAGTCTCCCGAGTTGCTCGAGGAGTCGCTACATTTGGTCGAGGCGATTGATAAAAACAGTAGCACGGCGCGTATCATTTTCCCTTGGCTGCCTACGCTGAAGCACGCGAAGCGCCTATTCGCCTCTATACGGTTCTATTTAATGATTCACCGAATCGTGCAGAATCGTAAAAAGACTGGGCGGCGAGAAGATGATATGGTACAAGTCCTGCTGGACGAAGGAGAGTCCACCATGAAAATAGTCATGGTCAGTATCGCCTCTCTCTCATAGTTTGAAATGCGATTCATGTGGCGTATGTTAACGTTTTTTTGCCTAGTTCCTCATCAACGGTCTCTTAGCAGCCTTGCTTAATTCCGGTATCAACGCTGCATGGGTGCTCTGCTATCTAGCACTCAACCCGCAGTGGAAAGAGCGAGTGCGCGCAGAAGTCGATGGGGCCATTTTGAAACACTCAACCGGCCCGTCCCAAACTCCGGTGGACATCCTCGCCAAACTCACTCTCGATGAATGGGAATCTGAGTTCCCGGTCATCAACATGTGCCTGCAAGAGTCTATTCGCCTACAGACTGTTGGAACCGCATTTCGCAAGAATGTCGGCGACAAGGCTGTAAAGATCGGGAGCACAGGAGAGATCGTGCCCAAATATGGTTTTGTTGCCTTTCCTGTTGACGATGTGCATATGAATTCTGAGATATATTCTGATCCAATGAAGTTCGATCCTGGGCGGTATGCGCCTGATAGGGCGGAGGACAAGAAGGTGCCTTTGGCTTTTGTGGGCTGGGGTTCCGGCCGCCATCCTTGCTGTAAGTCTCCAAACATTCTTCAGCCTGCCTAACTGAGGACATCTTCTAACTACGAAATCGATATAGTGGGTATGAGGGTAAGCTGCTTCCTTTTCCGCCGGGCAATCGAAGTACTAACCCTTGGGCAAAGTTTGCCAAGCTGGAAAACGCTATCATAACGGCGTCGTTTTCAGCCATGTTCGACTATGTCTTGTGCGACGCACAGGAAAGACCAGTGACACAGACACCTCTCATTGATCGTGATTTGAAGGTGGTTGAGAGGCCTAAGATTCCACTTCGGCTGAAATATATGCCACGTGGATAGCTATTGGAATTTCCAATCTGTGCGAGCGTAGTCCGCATTTTCAACACTGCAGACGTGTAGAAAGTTTGATTGGGGGAAGCGAGTGAACCTTTCTGTAGAATTTGAGAAGACTTTTATGACATCCAAACGACCAGCCTGTAATTTGATCTGTTCCTGAGTAACCTGCTCCATGCGGAAACGACTAAGTGTCTTGCTCTCATCCAGCCTTCTCTATGGCGAGCACCCATCCATGATGGCCGCAACCCAGATGTACCATACACGATTAGCTACGGCTCCCACCTGGGGGGAATGCAGTCACCAGCAGCTCGTGCTTTCATTTTGTCTGGAACGAACATTACGTCTCCCGATTTCAAGTTCCGAAAGGTCAGTCGATCTCAACAGTTTCACTAAGTGGGCCTCGATGTCCGTTGTCTCTCGTACTGCATATGACCGAGATAGAAACGTCACCCCTAGATGGGTTGACGCGTTAAAGACTTCGGATCCCGGTCAAGCATAAGGAAGAACGCTACTCAACAGACCCCGGAAGTCCGTTTCGGTAGTTGCTTACACTCCCCTGTGGTTGTACATAGTACCTAGGTAGTCGGCGACCAGTCACGTTACCGCGGTCTTACCACCTTCAAACACATAATTGTGGGGCCAATATAGTGGCCAAGCGTACTGGCGATGCAGAAGCCTCTCAGAAGGGCCTTTTGTGAAGGCGGAAAGTACGTGGTCCGATTGCTTCGGTGAAGATCAAGGCCAATACCTTCCTATCTGTACGAAGATGCTCGTATATAGTGAGTCACGCTTGGCTACCTTAGTACTAGCGGCGTGATGACTTGCTAAATACGAGCTCCCACGTAGTCGGGTTGATGTGATAATAGAGTTATGAGGCTTAAAGGAAAGGCTACAACCTGTATGTCTGCATTCTATACCGTCACCAGGTACATTGCTCGAATTCTCATCTCTCCGACATCGCCTTCAATTGTTGTTCCTCTACGCATTTCCCTCTTCACACTCGTCTTATATCTCCAGAAAAGCGTTGCAGACATCCATATCAGTCGCATAGCATTATCCGGGCAGGAGAACCAGCATGAATGAGCCAATCGCAATCGTTGGCAGTGCCTGTCGGTTTCCTGGCGACACGAATAGTCCATCGCAGTTGTGGGAGCTGCTTCGGAATCCCAAGGACCTTTGCATTCCTGTACCGCCATCCCGTTTCAATGCATCGGGCTTTTACCACAAGAATAGCGCGTACCACGGCCACAGCAATGTCGAGGGGATGAAGTCGTACTTCCTCTCGGAGGACGCTGTGGAGCGCCGCTTCGACGCAGGGTTCTTTGGCATCAACCCGGCTGAAGCCAACGTCTTAGATCCGCAGCTCCGCCTGCTGCTCGAGACAACATACGAGGCTCTCGAGGCAGCAGGCCAAACCATGGAAGTACTTCGGGGCTCGGACACTGGGTGCTATGTCGGGCTGATGATGGGAGAATACGAACAGTTTATGATGCGAGACGTTGAGAGCATCGGCACGTACCATATCATGGGCACGGCTCGTAGTTTGATGTCGAATCGACTCTCGTACTTCTTCGACTGGCACGGACCTTCGATGACGATCGACACGGCATGCAGCTCGAGCCTAGTGGCGGTGCACCAAGCGGTGCAACAGCTTCGGTCTGGGCAGTCGCGAGTTGCCATCGCAGCAGGAGCTAATCTCATCCTTGATCCAATCACGCACATTAGCGAGAGCAAGCTGCAGATGCTCTCCCCAGATGGGCGTGGCCGGATGTGGGATGCGGACGCGAATGGATATGCTCGCGGTGAGGGAGTTGCAACTGTGGTTTTAAAGAAGTTAAGCGACGCGCTGGCGGATGGGGACGACGTAGAGTGTATCATACGCGAGACGGGTGTCAACCAGGACGGCAAGACACGTGGGATTACGTTGTAAGTAGACATCCTGTGGTTTGGAGCACGAAAGGAAGAGACTGACCATTGCCCCAGACCTAGCGCAGCCGCTCAGGCGACTCTTATACGGGATACGTACCGTAGGGCTGGACTGGATCCACTGTGCGATGCGGACCGACCCCAATATTTTGAGGCCCATGGCACAGGCACGCCAGCAGGAGATCCGATCGAGGCAGAGGCCATCCACTCGGCCTTCTTCGGAGACAAGGATGCGACTGACGGGCGCCTCTGGGTCGGAAGCATCAAGACGGTATGCGGTCATACTGAAGGCACTGCCGGCATCGCTGGGCTCATGAAGGCATCACTGGCGCTGCAGCAGGGCGTCGTGCCTCCGAACCTGCTCTTCAACCGCCTCAATCCCCGCATCGAACACTTCACCGCCCACCTGCAGGTACCAAGACGCGCCGAGCCATGGCCGAAAACACAAGGGCGACCACGGCGGGCAGGCGTCAACAACTTTGGCTTTGGCGGCACCAACTGCTTTGCGCTGCTCGAGGCATATGGTCAGCCGTCAGCAACAACAGCCCATGACGGTACGGCTGCCGCTGTACCCTTTTTGTTTTCGGCCGCGTCTGAAAAGGCGCTGAGCAGATACCTAGAAGCGTTTGCAGCCTTCGTCGAAGCCAACGAGCAGACCGTATCTCTACGCGATCTGGCGTACACGTTGCACATACGCAGGAGTCGCTTGCAGTATGCGACAGCTGTGGCAGCCTCCGATGCTCGCGAGCTATATACCAGACTGCGCGAGAAGCTCCAGGCTGCATCATCTGGCAGTCCCGTGGGCGTCCGCGCACAGCTGGGGCGCGATATCGGCATCGTGGCCATCTTTACGGGACAGGGCGCCCAATGGCCTCGCATGGGCGCCGGGCTGCTCAAACATTCACCGGTAGTGGACATAATCGCTGACCTCGAGGGGCACCTGAGCCGTCTACCGCCCTCTGACCGTCCCCAGTGGTCACTGCGTCAGGAACTGGAACGTGGTGCCGATTCCTCGCGTGTGGGCGAGGCTGAACTGTCGCAGCCGCTGTGTACCGCACTTCAGATTGTGCTTGTTGACCTCCTGCGCGCTGCCGGCATTACCTTCACCGCTGTCGTCGGCCATTCGTCCGGTGAGATTGCCGCCGCATATGCTGCCAACGTCCTCTCTGCCCATGATGCCATTGCCATTGCCTATTACCGCGGCATGCACACCAAGCTCGCCGGTAGTCAGGGCCACAGGGGTGCCATGCTGGCTGCCGGCGTCACGGCTGAGGACGCTTCAGAGCTCCTCGAATCGCCAGTCTTCGAGGGCCGTGCCACAATCGCTGCCTACAACGCCTCTTCCAGTCTGACACTGGCTGGCGATGCCGACGCTATCGAAGAGCTGCAGGCCATCTTGGAAGATGAAGACAAGTTCGCGCGTTTACTCAAGGTCGACAAAGCTTACCATTCACATCACATGGCCCCGGTCGCCGGGCCTTATGCCGATTCTTTGCGCGCTTTGAATATCCAAGTCTCTACCCCGACTTGTACCTGGATTTCCAGCGTATCTGGAAAGAACATACTTGACCATGGTCTGGACAGCTTAAGCCATCAGTACTGGGTCGACAATGCCGTGAACCCCGTCTTGTTTATGCAAGCCGTTCAGAAGACAGCCGCCGACCTTGGCTCTGGTAACAATCTTCTCGCTCTTGAGGTTGGTCCCCATCCGGCGTTACAAGGCCCGGCAACACAAACAATTCGAGAGACAACTGGAGCGGATATACCCTACACAGGTCTCTTGAAAAGAGGGGCCCGAGACAATGTAGCTGTACCAGAAGGGCTAGGTCATATTTGGACACACCTGGGCCAGCCCTCACTTGATCTGCAGGCCTTCGACTACTTCATGTCTGAGAAAGCTCCCCGCAGACTCGTCAAGGACCTTCCAACATACGCGTGGGATCATCATGTCGACTATTGGCACGAGTCGAGATATACCAAGGCTTCCATGTCTAGACCCAGGGTCCACGAGCTTCTTGGGCATATGACCAGCGATGCCTCCGTCGAACAAGAGCTGAGATGGCGTCAGATCCTGAGCCCCTCAGAGATCCCTTGGCTTGGTGGACACCGCCTCCAGAGCCAGATCGTCTTCCCCGCTGCTGGGTACGTGGTGCTTGCTATCGAAGCCTGCAGGGAATTGCTCGCACTTGTTCCTGCGTTTGGACCCGCGAAGCTCATCCAAGTCCATGATGTCAATATCCAGCAAGCTTTGACATTTGACAGCGACGATTCCAGGGTGGAGGCTATCTTCGCGCTCAACAATATCACTCGGGAAGCCGACATAGTCTCTGCCAACTTCAAGTACTCGGCTGCCTCCTCGGGGACTGGTCACGGCTTGCACAATGACTCACAATTACGCGTGCTTACTAGTGGCTACGTCAAAATCTCTCTCGGGGAATCAAGTCCTCAAACCCTTCCGGCCAGGGGTCCGTCTCCTGACAGTCTGCTCCCCGTTCGAGCAGAAGAATTCTATGAGTCGCTGGAGAAGATGGAGTATGAGTACTCGGGGGAGTTCCGTGCTTTATCAGGTCTTGAAAGGAAGCTTGGCGCAGTCACTGGCTGTGTTGCAGGCCCTAGCAAAGACTTGAAGTCGGAGCTCTTGGTCCATCCTGGTATGCTAGACGCAGCTTTCCAAGCAGTACTTCTCGCCAAAGCAGCACCTTTTGACGGCAGCCTATGGAGCATGCACGTTCCGAAGACCATAGATCGTATCACAGTCAACCCTTGCACTTCAGGGAGTCATGTCACCAGCGGTCAACAATTGCCGTTCAGCTCGTACCTGCAGAACAGAATGGCCGACTCCTCCTTCAAGGGTGATGTAGATGTGTATCCCCCACGGGTACGTTCGTTCTCGGCTTCAGATGAGTCTAGCCATGCAATGGTCCAAGTCGAAGGGCTCGACTGCGTTCCATTCTCTCCACCTACTGCTCAAGATGACCGAGAGATAATGTCCGTCATGGTATGGGACAGTGCCTTCCCAGATGCTGGAAAGGCTGCCTACGATCTCAGGCCCATTCCCGACCCACGAGAGCTCGAACTGGCTCGTTTTCTCGAGAGACTGTCTTATTACTACCTCAAGCAACTACAGGATTCCATTCCTCTCGATCATCCATCTCGAAAAGACGGTCAACCTCTCAGTAAACTTTTTTCCTTCGCCAAATACGTCGATTCTCGAATTGCAAGTGGTCAGCTACCTTTTTGGAAAGAAGAATGGTTCCAAGATACGCAAGCATCCATTGCTGCAGCGTCGAAGCCATTTGCAGGTGTCGCCGACTACAAGCTACTGACAAGAATCGGTGAAAAGCTGCCCGAAATTGTGGAGGGCAAGACATCAGCGATCGAGCTTACCATGAAGGATGATCTCCTGAACGATTTCTACCCTGTCGCTCTTGGAATGGCCCATCATACCAAGTACCTTGCAAGAACCGTCAAGCAGATCACGCACAGATATCCCCATATGAAGATTCTCGAGATTGGGGCTGGCACAGGTGGTGCGACAAAGGCGATTCTGGATATGGTGGGCGACAGCTTCTCGTCTTACACCTTCACCGATATCTCCGCAGGGTTCTTCCTCAGGGCTCAAGAGCAGTTCAGTTCGTTCCCATCATCTTCGCGGTTGGCGTACAAAGTCCTCGACATCAGCAAAGACCCTTTGCAGCAGGGATACGCAGAGAAGGCTTACGATTTGATTGTTGCGTCTCAGGTACTGCATGCGACCCCGGTGATGCGTCAATCTCTCCTGAACACAAGGCGGCTACTCAAACCCGGTGGCTACCTCGTAGTCAATGAGGGGATCAACAACGATACTGCACGTCTTGGGACCATTTTCGGTGCATTCCCTGGCTGGTGGCTAGGTGCGGAGAATGACGGCCGAAGCTTGGGCCCCAATCTTGCCGTGTCCGAATGGAATGAGCTTTTACGCGGCACTGGGTTTTCAGGATGCGATTCTCAGGTTGCTGTTATCGATCCTCTTTTGACTCCGAACACTGTCTTCGTTTCGCAGGCCGTCGATGCCCGAGTAAACTTCCTCCGCGACCCGCTAGCTGTCTCTCCACAAGCACTGCAACTACTAAACCCCGCAACGGAACCTTCAATGCAGGAATTGTTGATTATCGGCGGTGAGAAGGCTACATCCGCAGAGATCGTTAGCCGATTGGAACCTCTCTTGAAGAAGTACTTTGCCAGGATGACACACCTCCGCTCGCTTGCGGATGTCGCGGCTCTGAATGTGCACGTCTCTTCCCAGACGACAATTCTGAGTCTCTCCGACATCGATAAGCCGATGTTCCAGGACCTCACTGAGCGCGATCTTCGATCAATGAAGTATCTCTTGCATAATGCTGGCTCAGTGTTGTGGATCACGCAGGGGCGGCGTGCTCAGGATCCCTTCGCCAATAGTAAGTCATCCAGGAACCCAATCTACTTTTCTTTAGACTTTTAATTTCCTCTGGCACACTCGGATGTGAGACTCAAGTTTATGTTTCAAGAAACGATGCTGACTCGAGGTTTCTCAACTACAGTGACCGTGGGACTGGTACGTGCGGCGCTGCTTGAGATTCCCACGCTGGCATTCCAGTTCCTGGATTTTGAAGACGTCAGTTTTCTGGACTCCAGATCGATTGGGGAGTGCCTTCTTCGCTTCAAGGCTGGACTAGCCTGGGCTCCGCGAAGAGACAATATGGAAAATTGTGACCCTCTTCTCACAACGGTCGAGCGAGAATTTGTTCTCGACAAAGAGGGACAAACGCTCATTCCGCGCATCATTCCCAAGAACGACCTGAACGACCGGTATAATGCCGCCCGACGTCCCATCTACGCAACCACGACCCTAAACGATCGCGAGGGTAGCCTACCAAACGTGCACGATGTCACTATTAAGTTTGACGCGCACCGCAAAGAGTACTATCTTGAGCAAATTAATCGAGAGCGCAGCTCTGACTCACTACACCTCACACATTCTCTTCTTTTGGCCTGCAGAGTCAAAGGCCTTGGGTACGCTCATGTAGGTCTCGCAAAGGACAAGGGCTCTTTACGGGTTATACTATCAAGACAACTGTCACTTTCCATCCCTCCTCTCAAAACCCTTTCAAGGGTTCTATCGAGTCGAGAGGAGATGCTCCTTAGGAACTCGGAGGTCGCGGCTCGATTTCTCCGGCTCGTCGCCGGGAATATTCTTGCCATGGACATTCTTAGCGGTTCATCCCACAGCGACCATGTAGTCCTCTACGAACCTGAACCCGCTTTTGCAACGATAATCAAGAGGGAGGCTGCAGGTCATGAGGTGGGTGTAACGGTTCTTTCGTCGACCATGAGTAGGCAGCGATGCGAACTTCTTGGGTGGTCGTGGGTTCATCCTCAAGCTCCCGCTCGAATCGTCCGCGATGTTTTGCCAAAGGATGCCTCCGTCTTCTTGATTTGCAACGATGGCCATCAAAGGGACGTTTTGGAATCTGTAACCCGGATCAGCTCACATCTATCCTCACGATGCAAAGTCATGTCCATCGCTGAACTGCAAAAAACTGGAGCAGATGTTGATCTCGATGCGGCTGGCTCCTTCGACTTGGATCTACGTACTCGCCTGGCTACGGCCATTAGACGTGCTTTGGAAGACCTAGCCTACTTGAGCCTGGAGAGCCCTGTCATTCCGATTGACCGGATATCGGATGTCAATGTCGCCGTCCACTCTGGAAATGATGGTAGAGCTCGCCAGATTGTTTTGCAATGGGAGTCTGCACTGCAGGCTCAGGTTCAAATTCGGCCCATTGACGACCGAAACATGTTCTCCGACTCCAAGACATACTGGCTTGCTGGACTCACCGGCAGCCTGGGTCTATCCCTTTGCGAATGGATGATTGCTAAAGGTGCCAAATACATCGTCATGACTAGCCGCAAGCCTAACGTGTCTCGTGCATGGCAAGAGAGAATGGCGTCTCTGGGTGCGGTCGTCAAAGTACATTCCAAGTAAGTGAGAGCATCAATACACTCCACGACAGCGTCGTTATAGCAAGCATCACTTATTGAATTTGACTAACATGTTCTCTCACGTAGTGATCTTACGAATTTGGAACAGACAAAATCTTTCTATCTCGACATCTGTTCCGCTATGCCAGCAGTCGGAGGTGTCGCATCGGCCGCTATGGTGTTGGTGGATACAACACTCAGCAACATGACCCTTGATGACATGGAAACCGTCTGTCGCCCCAAAGTGCAAGGCACGCTAAACCTAGACAAGATATTCTCTAACGTTGATCTTGAGTTCTACGTCGCATTTTCGTCCATCGTCGCCGTCACCGGAAACCCTGGGCAATCGAATTACGCGGCTGCCAACATGTTCATGACAAGTCTCGTTGAACAGCGGAGACAACGCGGTTTTTCCGCTTCGGTCATACACATTGCGCCCATTTTGGGCGTTGGCTATGTTACGGAGAAGAGCGATAGGAACAAGACGAACTTTCCGCGCACCACTGGCTATTCACTCACATCGGAACAAGACTTTCATAAGCTATTTGCTGAGGCTGTTCTTGCTGGACGCACGCATTCAGAGCCCGAAGGATATTCTGAGATTGCACTAGGACTTCACAAAGTCGGTTCGCATCCCGAAAAACCACCGTACTGGTTCGACAATCCAACTGCGACGCATTTCATTCGTAACGACGAAACCGCCGATGTCTCCAAGGCTTCCGTAGCAAAGGCATCTGTCAAATCTCTGCTCCTACTTGCCAAGAGTACTGCCCAAGTATTGCAGGTGATGACAGATGCTTTGAAGCCCTTCGTTTGTTCGCTTTTCCAGGTTCAAGGAGGCACTGATCTGAGCGACTCCGAGTTTTTAGACCTTACCCTGGACGACATTGGTCTCGATTCTCTCCTCGCTGTTGAGATCCGGACGTGGTTCCTGAAGACAGTTAACGTAAATCTGCCGGTGATGAAGATTCTTAGCGGTTTGTCTGTTCGCCAGCTTGTAGCCATCGCCACGGAGAATCTATCCACTGAGCTTATACCCAACGGTGTATCTGGAGCTGGCGGAGACTTGGCCCAGCGCGAGAATCCGTCATCTCAGCAGGCGGTATTACCGAAAGAAACCAAGAAGAGCGAAGAATCTGTCGTTGTCACTTCCTCGTCTTCTTCATCTTCCGATACGGGCGGCACTTACGGTTCGGATTCAACAGTCACCACAGAGATGGACGTATCCTCCTCGCCGGCGTCCAAGAGCCTCCCAATCACCCCGCTAGAAGAGCAACCAAGTCCAGTTATCGTCACTCGCAGCCGTGGAGAAAGTACCATTGAACGGTTTATAGAACTATCATTCAGCCAGACCATGTTCTGGTTCGTGTTGAAGTTTCTAGACAACATGGCTGGGCTTAATCATACCGGGGTATTTAAGATCACAGGTCGTCTTCGCATTCGGGATCTGCAAAGGGCCATAGTAGACCTCGCCAAGCGTCACGAGGTACTGCGTACCTGTTTCAGAGTCGTCGACGACCGGCCGCAACAAGGCATCATGGAGACTGGCTCGTTGTGCTTAGAGCGCAGACAAATCACCAGTGAGGAGGAAGTCACAACTGCTACTCGAGAGCTACAAGAGTACACTTATGATCTGGAGTCAGGAGAATGTTTGCGGGTACTGCTCCTGGAGTTATCATCAAACGTCCATTTTCTCTTATATGGCACGCACTCTCTGGTCATGGACGGAATTTCGGGTACCATCCTCACACGAGACTTATTGCGACTGTACGAGGAGGAGCCTGCAATCAACAACTGCGCTCCCGTCTTCCAATACTCTACCTTTGTTCGGACCCAACTCGAGGCCTTCAAAGCTGGAGAGCTTGAAGATAGTTTGCAGTTTTGGAGGAAGGAGCTCACGCCCTGTCCACAGCCGCTTCCAGTGCTGCGTATCTCTCCAGTCATGACTCGTCCAGTACAAGCGAGCTATCAGAACTGTAGGGACGACCTTACAATTGATGCAGCGATGAAATCGCGTATATGGGATCTCTGTCGGCTCTGCAAAGTTCGCCCCTTCCACTTCTTCCTCACCGTCTTCCGTGCACTCCTATCACGATTTGCCGAAGTAGAGGAAGTTTGCATTGGCATAGCGGATGCCAATAGATCTCATGAAGGCGCTATGGACGGCCTAGGGCCGTATATCAATCTCTTGCCTTTGCGCTTCTCGAACAGCGCATTGCAGAAATTTGAAGCCGAGCTCCAGAAGACCAAGGCCAAGTCTACTTCAGCACTAGCACACTCAGACGTTCCTTTCCAGCTCTTATTGAACGAGTAAGTAAACATCTCTCCTGTCATCCTATTCATCAGCAGCAACACTGGGGAAATCACTGACTTGCAGTCATAGCCTCGGTGTTTCTCGTTCAGCAACCCACGCACCCATTTTCCAAACCTTCTTCGACTATCGCCAAGGAATGCGCAAAACTCAGGCATGGGGGGAATGCCAACTGGAATTACTATCTTTCCAGGCATCTGAGCTTCCTTACGACGTCTCTCTCGATATCATAGATGATGCAGGAAATGACACTTGCCATCTGATGCTTATCACTCGTGGAGACATGTACGGAGAGGAGGATGTCCGGTTCCTGCTCAGGAGCTACGAGAAGTTAATTCACTCCCTCGTGAGCACTCCGAACACCGCATTTGCAGATGCAGATATCTTTGACACGGGAGACATTGAGCGTGCGCTACAACTTGGTAGAGGTGAGCATTTTCGCCTATTGCTTTCAATTTCAGAAATGGGTCATGTGGTTGCTAACAGTATGAGTATAGGGGAATATATCCCATCTCAATGGCCGTATGAATCCATGATCGGTCGGGTCGAAGCTGTGGCGAGTTCGAATCCGAACGAGGTGGCACTCAAGCTACCGTTTGGCGATAAGTCGATGACTTACGCTGAGATGCTGCAAAAAGCTCGGGGAATAGCTTCGGTCCTCCGTTCTGAAGGATGCACCGCCGGCTCTATTGTCGCAGTTTATCAAGAGCCGACTCCAAACTGGCTTTGCTCAGTTTTGGGCGTGTTTGGCAGCGGGGCCGTCTGCGTACCGTTTGATGCCGGAACGCTAGTCAAGCGTCTTGCAGACATGGCGGACAACAGCAAAGCTCAATACATCCTTGTTGATTCGAGCAATGGAACTCAGGCTACGAAACAGCTTAACACGGATGGTACCCGCAAGATCATCAATGTCGAGCAAGTTTCCGCTTCCCGTCCCGACAAAGCCCAAACAGCCGATTCTCTATTACTGCCAAAGGCGGAGGATCCAGCCATGATTTTATACACCAGTGGATCTACAGGCGTTCCGAAGGGTATTGTTCTGAAGCATGGCGGGTTCAGGAATTGGGCTGAATTTGTTCCACCCCTGTTTAGGTCCGGAGGCAGAGATACGGTGCTGCAACAAAGCTCTTCAGGCTTCGATATGGCCTATCTCCAGGCGTTCTTTGCGCTCGCATACGGAGGGACGGTATGCATTGTCCCTCGTGCTATGCGAGTGGATGCTCACGCCATTACCCAAATCATCGCCTCCGAGGGCGTTACCGTCACTCAGGGCGTGCCGTCTGAGTACTCCAATTGGTTGCGATACGGGGAAAGTGAGAGCCTCGCAGATTCTATACATTGGAAAACAGCCATGTGCGGGGGCGAGCCAGGTACCAACATTGTGCTAGAGCTCCAGGCCGCCCTCGGACCTCAACCCCGACCGCGGTTTTTCCACATGTACGGCCCGACCGAGATCACCTTCATTACTACAGCCATGGAGCTTTTCTATGGGGATGACGAGAAGACGCCTGCCGTTGGTGGACCGTTCCCGAATTATTCGGTCTATGTTTTGGACGATCAACTCCGACCAGTCCCACCCGGCGTCCAAGGCGAGATATATATCGGCGGGGCAGGCGTTGCTTCAGGCTATCTAGGTAATGCGGTGTTGACAGAAGAGAAGTTCTTACCGGACCCTTTCGCCCCAGCATCATTCAAGTCTCACGGGTGGACTACTATGCACCGCACCGGAGACAACGGTCGATGGCGCAAGGGCGGTGGTCTGCTCATAGAAGGCCGCAGATCTGGCGATACCCAACACAAGCTTCGAGGCTTGCGCGTTGACCTCCAAGAGGTTGAAAATGTCATGCTCAAGGAGTCCAATGGGCTACTCACAGATGTTGTCGTATCGGTCACTCGCACATCCCCTCAGAGCCCCGAGTTTCTGGTTGCCCATGTCAGATTCGACCCCAACCACTGCCCAACGGAGAACGATCAGCAGCATGTGTTGAGTGAGCTGTCTTCTAATCTTCCTTTGCCGCAGTACATGTGGCCGGCTGTGGCGATCGCCGTCCAAGAATTACCCATGATGAGCTCGGGAAAACTGGATCGTAGAGCAGTTGCATCGTTACCGCTTCCAGAATTGCCGAACTTCAATGAGATTGATGACGACGAGAAAACTGCCGACGCGCTCCTTACAGAAACTGAGGCGCGATTGAAGAAGATGTGGGAAGACATCATTTCAAAGGATGTCTCTAAGCGGCACCGCATCCGGCCTGACACCGATTTCTTCCATGTTGGCGGCACCTCTATGCTTCTGTTGCGACTACAATCACAGATACAGAAGAGCTTTGGCTTCGACTTTCCTTTTGCGGAAATGTTTGAAGCTAGCACTTTGGGGGCCATGTCTAAACGCATTGACGACAAGAGGGGTTCGGAATCGGAGTGTTTCGACTGGGAAATGGAAACTGCCGTTCCAGTATCACTAATGTCAGCACTGAAGAACGCTACACATCCTCTCTCCGCGCCGACCAAGGTGGTGGTCCTTACGGGAGCTACTGGTCTGCTTGGACAAGGCTTCTTACAGGCGCTGATTGACGATGCAAACGTTGACAAGATACATTGCGTTGCGTTGCGAAACATGCGCACCCGTGTATCTTCGCTTCCACTTCTCGTACATCCAAAGGTGGTTCCGCATGAGGGAGATCTCGCACTGCCACGTCTGGGCCTAGACGAAGCCACAGCCACCCTCATCTTCCAAGAAGCGAATCGGATCATTCACAACGGGGCCGACACCTCCCATCTCAAAACATACCGATCGCTGCGAGCGGTCAATCTACATGCGACACAAGAAATTGTTTTGATGTGCTTGCTTGCTGGCAAAATGACACCTATTCATTATGTCTCCACAGCGAGCATCTTGCAATACTCTGGACTAAGCGAGTTCGACGAGGAATCAGCGGCACACTATCCGCCCCCTTCCGATGCGTTCGATGGGTATAGCGCGTCCAAGTGGGCAAGCGAGCGATACCTGGAGAAAATCCACCAGCACAGTGATGGCAAATGGCCTATCTGGATCCATCGCCCCACCAGCGTTCAGCGCGGCGCCTCTACTTCACGAGCCGAAACCAACAATCTCGACGTCGTGAGCAATCTACTCGAATACTGCAAGCTCGCCAACGCTGTGCCCGTCTCGCCGAACCTTCGCGGCTTCATCAACTTGACCCGGTTAGATGATGTGGTCGCTAGCATGATGGCTGAGATCCACGTTACCATTCCTCACAATCAAGAGTACTGTCCAGTGCGCTATCTCCACGAACGTGGCGACATAGATATCCCCTTCGACGACATCAAGAGCTTTATTGATGCCGCGACGGGACGTGATGCCGAGAAACTGGCGCTTCATGAATGGGCTAGACGCGTAGCGAAGCTAGGGATGGACTCGGTGCTTGTCGCCTATTTCGAGACGGTGTGTCGCGCGCCGCCTGTCGTATGGCAACGGCTCCTCAAGAAGAGCGATTTGGGGGAGTAGGTTAGATGTGTTTTGTAGTTACTGGGTTATTAAGTGGACGTTATCCACGACAAATTGGATTGTGTACATTGTCACTTCACCTTACTCCCATCATTGTACTGGAGCTTCACAATCTCGATTAGGTAGAGCTACTCGGCTGGCTAAGATGTGCCACCGGATTATATACTCGTCAAAGCGTTCTCTCGTTCCGGTATCTCGGAAGGGGATAGTATGATTTTAGTATTAAATGTAGTGAAGTAACAGCGATTATATCTCCCCTATCAAATAAGCTATATTCGTAATTCTTCTTAAACAAGAAATGTTACTAGTACTTAGCAAGAGCAGTATTTCAGATTCATCTTAGACTATTGCGTTAGATTAACGCAGCTTTTTAGATCTCTAGAATTTTCAAAAATCAAATCCTTTAGATTCTATACAATTTGGCCTTGAATATTCGTTGGCTATAAACTTTCTCTTTCATAAGCTCATTCCTCATTTCGTCCGTTATCAGCTAAAAGACGAATTATCCGAATCTGACCTAACAGCCTCGTCCTCTGAATCAGAGTCGCTCGCCTCACTCGCAACGGGGCTGTCCGTTGAATCCGGGTGCTCAGATCCAGCAGGAGCTGGTCCCTCATTACCACCATCCTCATACTCATCGTCCTCGTACCTGGACTCAAAAGGATGCGGATCGTGCACTAGATTCCGGTTCCGGGACCAGTAGCATTTGAAGCATATGGCGAAACCCCTGCACTCGGTACATTTGAAGAAGACGCCGACGAGGCCCTGCGATCCCAGGATTAACGTGAGATCCTTGTCGCACGAGAGAAAAACTTACCAACAGGCAGATATCACAAAAGGAGTCGTCATGTCTTCGCGCAGTTCGAGATTCAGCAGCGAGACTCTCATACCAGAACGCGCGCAGATCGCTCCGTAAAACTTGTTCTTCCGTCGGCGTTACGAGTTTGATGATGTCGTTGTCGAGCCCGTAGTAGCGCGCAACCTGGTACGTCGCCCATCTGTGCGGCAGGCCCTCGACCACATCCATAATATCTGCGCCATCCTTCACCAATGCCTCGATGATGGCAGCGCGTTCGGAAGTATCGACGTTCCATTTGAACGCATCGCGGACCGCCCAGAAGAGCGGCGTCCATCCGTCACAGTCTTTTCCCTTCGCCAAACCCGGACGCCGCTCAATGATGTGCTGGACTAGATTCAGTCGGCCACTGATGACGGCAAAGTGGAGGGCATTTCGTTCCATGTGATCAAGGGCGAACAAGTCGGCATTCTTCCCATCGTCACGGTCGCAAAGTGTGTTTACATGTTCGATCGTCCGATACAAAGCAAAATGTACTGGTCTTCGCCCCGCCCTATCAACCGCATCCACGTCTGCGCCGCGTTTGATGAGTTTGTCGACAACATCCGGATCTGTCATCAAACACGCCGTGTTCAAATTACTGCCCCACCAGTTGCTTGTCAGCTCGACGTCCACTAAGTCGTTCTCTAGCAAATACGAAATGACTTCCTCTCGCGAATCGTGTGCGCTTTGGCAAACAGTTTGGAACATAGTGCCACTGACACCTTCGCTAACAATTTTGGTATTTGCACCGTTGTCTACAAGGACGCGGAGTATATCTCGTGACAAGCATTGCCCGCAAGCCAGGAGCAGTGGTGTGGACTCGTGGTATCTCCCTATGGTAGCGTTCGTATTTACGCCCTCAGAAATGAGGAAGGAAGTGAGCTCAACATCGCCAAGGCGTACAGAATTTGACAATGGTGTGTCATTCCACGGAACGTCCTGGGTTTCTATGTTTGCCCCACGTCGCAGTAAGAGGCGAAGAGTTGGAATATCCTTCGCACTGCTCAAGCAGTTAAGCGCAGTCCGTCCCAATTCATCCACATGCTCCAAGTCAAAGTTGTAAAGCAATAGTCTCTTGAGCAGGTCTACATGCTCGTTCTCCACACACTCATGAAGTAGCAGCGCGTTAGCAGCTTTGGTCGCCGGGTGACAAGGATCTTCGCCAGCATCTAGTAGCAATCCGGCGATTCCTAATTCGTCACCATCCACAGCTCTGAATAATATTGTGCTATCTCGGATTAAGCAGTTCAGTTCAGGTTTGTGCTTGAGAATTTCCGCAACGCAGTCTTCATATCCCCACTTAGTAGCAAGATATAGAGCGGTGTCTCCGTCACATGTCCTCGCATTGACGTTGGCTCCGTGAGCAAGGAGTAGTTTCATGATTTGCGGGTTATCAAATGCGGCGTGTACTGGCCACCAACCTTCATCGTCATCTTCAAAAATGTTGACATCAGCACCGGCCTTGATTAGGGTCTCCACAATCTCAACACGGCCTTGATAGGTTGCATCATACAACGGCGTTCCGCTGCCCGAAATCGATCTTTTGTCCAACTGGGCTCCTGCGGAAACTAACAACTTGACGATCTCTGTTGACCGATTGTCGATAGCTGGTTCCATGTTATTCAGCTGGTCGACAAAAGTGTCCGGCGTAACACAGTTTCGTCCACGTTCGATGAAAAGCTGGACAACGTCTGGAGTGGCTGGTGATCTCTTCATTGCACTCTGGAAAACCTCCGGGAAGCTCTCGTCGTCAAGAACAACAAATCCTTGTAGAAGCTGATTGATGACAGCGACGTTGCCTCTCGATGCGGCGAGATCTAGAAGCTCGTTCTTGTCGAGTTTCGACTGAGGACTTATGTTTTCGCATAATTTAAGTATTGTAGACAGGCACCTGGGTCTACATTGCACAATTGCGGTCTCTAGGAGGGGTTTGATGGATGTTGGAAAGCTGTGATTATTTCGGAGAACTTCGACCAATGACTTGATAACATTATGCTGGCCATGGTCAATCGCGTGGCTCAGTACAACTTCAGCATAGTATGAGTCGGCGGGAGGGCTCGCTGCAGACTCCTCAGATCTTTCCCGGAGAATTACACCCGTTGCGTCCTCTTGCTCGTTGGTAGTAATACCAGCGTCCCGAGACTCGACAGGGACCTGCGCTTCGCCAGTATCAAGAGCGTCCAATCTCTTGAGATTGCTACTGTCATTGGATGTGGTGAGTTCATCTTCTACCCCATTTACTGTGGTCGCAGAGAGGCCGGGAAGTGTTGTGTGACGTTCCTCCTCCTTCAATAACTTCAATAAATGGGCCATTAAGACGCTCGAGAGGGCCGCGTGCCCGTTTCTGACTGCCTGTAACACTGCTTCGGAGATATCCCGGGCCTGTGTACCTTGGAACCGTTCAAGCAGGTCGTTCGCTATGTCGACATTGTTACCACTGATGGCTGCAGCAAGGATGCTTTTCTTGTTGTCCTCTTCAATAGTCTCCCATGATATGAGCGGCAGCAGCCGATTGGTGACACTTTCTTGACCAATTTCCAACGCTTTACGCAGAGCCGTTGGGATTGCAACCGAGCATGGATAAGTCTGGGGAGCCTCAGATGTGATCATCGATATCGTCGTCTCGTCTTGAGATTTCAAAGCTGCCTGTAATGCAAGGTCGAACATCCCCGAGTCGAGCGACTGATCCTGTAACAGCAAACTAACTGTATCAGACTTTCCACCTCGGGCGGCGGCTAGGAGGGCATTGAAATATTGGCCTTTTATCCATTCTGTTCCCTTGTGGGCTGCGAGTGTGGCCTGAAGCGTGGACTCTGGGGCAAACTCTATAAGGGTCGCTAACGGGCCCGATCGCTCGAGGCTTGGTCGAGTGGCGGAACTGGTGCGGTGCCAATACACCCTACCCCAAAGGTCGAGCAGAAGCGTATTTGAGAGAAATTTCTGAGCCACGCTATCTTCAGGAGACCATTCAGAGCAGGCAAGGCTGGCGTGCTTGGGCCAGAATTGTACGGCGTAGGAAAGAAAATCCATTCGACTCTCAGGAGCACCGACGTCGTCTGAGCTAACAATGGAAACTTCGAGCCTGTTCAGGCCATGTGAAGAAGTCAGGTACTCCAAACATAACCGCACGAAAAGAGAATGCCGTTTCGGTAGGTTCATTGCTTCCAGATCTAGAAGCAGAGAGTCTCCTGAGAGTAAATAGGATCGGAATTCTGGGTGACCGAAGTGCACTTCGTTTCCCAGAAGATTGAAAACCCCAGGATGTACGGAGAAAATCGACGTAGGTTGCATCACTTGTGAAATATAACCAGTCTCCCAGGACTTGCGAGCTTCTTCCAGATCGGCCAGCTCGAGGTAAGTAAGAGGTCGAAAGGCCAGTGCCACAAGCTCTAGGATGCTTATCGTTGAGTCGGGTTTGCTTAGTGCTAATGGATCTAAGCTCAAGATCAATTTGAAAGTCGACTCTATGCGTGAATCCGAGATATTTGATATTTGTTCCTGCATAGCCGTCGGACAGACGGACACTGGAAGATTGGCGAGCCATCTCATGATCATTTCCTTGTGTTTTTCCGATACGTCAAAGGTTTGAAACAATTTGAATAGTTCCAGACCTACGGGAGCCACCCATGGACTTTTCTGTATCACCTCTAGAGTCCGACGTTCTGCCTTTCGGAGGACCGACTGAGTGTGGTATCTAGTTATTTCGTCCGGGACGTCCTCTCCCTCACTAATCAAGTCCTTTGTCTGCTCACTGGTACTGACTGGAGCCTTCGGAGGGCTTTGTGGGCCTGAAGAAGACCGCTCATCTGGTGGACGTTGCTCAGGGTCAGTACGGTCGAGAAAGGTTGTGTATTCTGAATCAAGTCTCAGAGTCGAATCTGGATTGTTGATGAATATTACACGAAAATGCAGGTCCGAATTGGCGGCTAGATCGTACAGCGTGTCCAGTAACCAGGCAGAGGAATCAATGCTCTCGTTAAAGTTGAGGAGAATCCACACTTCCTCGTCGCTTTGATTCATCAGTGCAACCTCACGGTACACATTGAACAGGTCCCTGAGATCCCAGCCTAGTTCGTCAGGAGAATGTGTTGCATGGGAAGATTTAGAAAGAGTCTCTTTCAGGACAGTACAAAGTATATCCCCCACGGTCTTCATCCGCAAGTCCGAGTGTCGACAATCGAACCTGTGACACATGCCAGACCATGAGGATGCCATGACTACCTGATTGAAGACGGCTTGACACGTAAGATGAACATTCTCAACGTTTCGCAATGCAAGGAAGGGGGTATTCCGGCTTGATCCCCATTTCTGGAACATTTCTTTCTGAAACATTGGAAGTTCATGTAAGATCAGAGTTTGATCCCACTGGTGTCTCCTGAGCGATGCAGTAGACGTTGCAGAAGACCTGAGCTTTGACAGATCAGCCCATTCGAAATCTGCTAGACGTCAGACCGGATTCAAACACGATAACGTATTCTGAGCATACCAGCGAGGTGCTTTTGAACTACCGCACCGATACCTGAGGGCATCTGACGAGCAAGTTCGGAATGTGGCAAAGCCAACTCAAGATAGAACTGTCTCTCTACCAGCATCGACTGAGTCTGGGACTCAGCCAACTCAAACACCTAGTCAAATGCGTTAACATTAAATCGCCACCCCTTTCCCAGCCAAGCCTTACTCTCTTTTGTAGATCTTCATCCCTGGAGAGGATATTTTGCTCTAGTACAGAGAGCTGCGGTCTAATCTCCATAAATGTCGCATTGATATCACGTATTGCAGCGGCGATATAAGCTGCATACAGTGCCCGTGGGCGAGAATCGAGCTGTTCGTTCAAGATCAGGAGGCGATTCAGCGATGGAGTAAGGTCGACCGCGTAATCGAAGACATGCGGGCAACCGATGAAGAACTGTGTGATTTTAGGAAGTAACACACAAGACAAGCTTTTTGAATCGAAGACTTACCAGGACAGTAGTTGATCGGAATATATCTCGAAAAGCGATGTCCCCGAAAGCGGCTTGAGTAAGTGCCTAGGGAGTAAGTGGCGCTCGCTATTGGGTTGGGCACTCGAACCTGTTTGATCAATATTCCCCCAATATCATGGCCGGCCAGAATAATCCTTTGGTGTCGTACCCTGTCTAGCTGACTAATCGCTTGGAGAAGCCGATTAGCCTCTCGAGTGAGGCCACTGGGCGAAAAAATATACGCATCATCTCCAAAGAGCGGATAGGTGTACGTCGAGACGCGCGCGTCTTGAACATCAAAACGGAAGAAGTCTTCGAATCCCAAAGATTCCGAATCCGAGGGGGCCCATGTGCTTCCCTGGTCACCGCAAATTCCGGGAACGAGAATGACGCTGAATGAGCTCGTCAATCAACGGGTTCACACTATGGCTTGAAACCTAAGCCACTTACTCGACGATCTCCGAGGAAGATCCGTCACTGGAAGATGTGTGTAGTCCGTACATATCGAAGTTGAGCTTTGAGAGAAACGGTATGCGTCGCTCGTGTCATTCGACACTGGACGTAGTGGGCGGGCGTGAGCATTTTGTTAGAAACGGTCGCCCTCGAGAAGGCTGATGATAGTGCTCCGGTCACCAAACGATTCGGCAGCTCCTAGCTTGCTTCAGCTCGAGACTCCCAGTCGTGGCCCCCGCCACTTCGCGGGTCCAATGTGCCACAGCATCGGAGCCCGCCTCATTCGTATGCAGGCGGCAAGGTTATATTATCCACCGCATCGAAGATATCGCCGGAAATAGTAATGAAGTTCAGCTACAGAATTACCTGGTTTTCCGCCACTTCGCGGAGCCAATGTACCACAGCATCGGAGCCTGCATATTTTAGATGCAGGCGGAAAGGCTATATTATGCAATGCATCGATGATCTCGCCGGAAATCGTAATGGGGTTCAGCTACAGGATTACCTGGCGTTTTGCTATACGAACTTGCTGCCTAGAGTTCCTTCAGAGCGTCCTTCATCACTGTCCGAAATGTCACATTTGACAAAGACTTCAAGTCCACCGCGCCTAGGTTGTCCGCATCATACATGTGTAGCTTGTTGGTGGAGGGCTTTTTGGGGTCATACCAAACGTCATCATCCTTTTCATCCTTCTTGAACATCGTGCTGATCCTCGAAGTCGTGTCCGCGGTTGCTTTAAGAGTGATTGAGGCTTTGAAAGGGTCCATATTCTTTCTCTTCAAGAGGATGGCACCCTGAAAGCATGTGACGACCCCTGTCTTTGCTGTGGCATTTTCGAAAAGGTCCCAAGATACGGCATTCGGCTTACCATAAGCAGAAGCCCGGAGAACGTCCATGGAACCACGAATCCTGGTATAGTCTGTAGTTTCGCGTTGAACAGTGCTCTCCAATTTCAAAACCCCTCCCACTTGAGCACCTGCTGCACCGCCTCCGACGTTCACCTCAGTACCTTTCAGTACTTGTTCGTGTTGCACGGTAGGCTGAACAGAGAAGCTGCCGTCAGGGTACATAGCATAAACCTCTGGATCGGGTTTACCGATCTCTATAGCGGAAAATGTGAAAACGGCATGAGCTTCCTTGATACGTGCAGCCATCCCGTTGGATTCGAAGCGGAACTGGACAATAACGAGAGTGCAGAGATCATCAATTTCTTCGGAGAAGTATCCGTGCACAATGTCTTTATGCTTGCAGCCGATGTTCACACAGCCCTTTCGCTGGACTATCGTGTCACGTTGGTAGGGGTCTTTTGGGTCGTTGTGGAAGTGAAGACCGGCATCAGCCGCAGTAGGAAAGATCGTAATTTCGAGATCGGACAAGTCTTCCGCAAACTGGTGGCCTTCCATTATGTTTGACGGTGTGAGACTGAAGTTTGGCCTGCTGATGAAGGTCTTGTTTAATTGCGTACGGATGATTGAAGCGCGATAATCAACTTAAGCACGCGCCAGTCCGCCGTCCTAAGCCGCCTCTTATCTTGGAACTTGCCGCAACATAACTGCCTGGAGTGTACACTGCCTCCGCCTCCCGGTGAGGACCACGGTAGGCGAAAAAATGAGCGGAGTACAGATTATTAGCGTTTCTTGGCGTAAAGGAACTGTCCGAGCCGAAGGGGGAAATGCGGGGCAAAAGGTTGATTGGTTGAAGTGTCTGTGGACAAGCTGCTTTATCCGGCGCATACCGCCCGGCTGAGCTGCAAACAAACAGCAGGGATGAGAAAGTTTGGATCGCTCGTTCGCTGGATTAACAGTTGACGAATGTGAACGAGTGAGTCATGCTGTGCAGCAAGCCGCCTATGCGCAAGCGTCCAAATCCGGCGTTTACTTAGTCGAGGCTGAGCTGAAGACATGCAACAGGGATGATTCATTCCGCCCCCCACGGCGATAGTTGATCTGGCCTGATTGCAATTGCCACTTTGACGCCTGCCCAGTGACAAATCTCGCCGTGAGATCATCACACTCTATTCGATGAGCTTGCAGCTTTGATACTTCCTCCTCACGACCCGATAAGCAATATTGCGCATTCGTACCTGAATCATAGTTCTAAGCTTTGGCGCGGAACTCCAAAAACTTTCTGAATGTCACCCAAGGGACAACATGCTCAAGGGGATCCAAGGCACCTGACCTCGCGAGCCAGCAACGGAAGTGATAGCGACAGCGAGACGGAATCAAGAAACCAGAGGAAGGCAGGCGACGACGACGGAAGTGATAATTACAGCTCTGGCCCGGATGATGACGGAGATTTCGAACCGGAGGGTGAACAGGGACTTGGGAATGGGCAAGACGTTCAACTCGACGATCACCAAAAGATCAGACAATGTTGGGAGCAAATCATGTATGACCTCAAGGATGACAAGCTGAAGGACAGCGACGATGCACAGGAAATGTTTTTCACAAAGCACAAAGCGTCTCTTGGACCAGCCTTGGATTGGGCCCCGAAGGACGTTCCGATTCACACGAGGAATGTGCTCTTCAAGTTGGCTTACGAAGGGAAGCCAGAGTTACCCCATCTAGTAAAACTTTTGGTCGAAGAGTACCCACAACTCCTTCAAGATACAGGCATGTCCGGTCACAGGGCGTTCGATTTCGCCCTCGAAGGAAAGTTGGACTGGTTCATAAAAGCTGTCGTCGAAAGTGGTATCCAAGACAAAGATCTGGAAAAGGCCCTGGCGCCAGTCAAGGCGAACAATGGGCAAGCTGGCAGTAAATCAAATTGCATACACAAAGCAATTACAATGGATATCGATCCTTCTCTCACGAAAAAGCTCATAGAGAGGGCGTCGAGTGACTTACTCACTGCACAGGATGACGTCGGACTCACCCCCCTACACCACTCTGTCCACTACAGGAGGTGCATAAAAGGCCGTGGTCGCGTAGTGAGGGCTCTTCTTCGTTGCGGTGACCAGGCACTCGACAAACGCACGCTGCCGCCTGGGTCCTATTCGGCGTATCGGTACCATGTGCAGACTAGGCCACAGAAACCGCTCATAGCAGCGGCAGATGAAGTTGAAGGCAAGACTGAGCAGAAGGCTAGGAGGGGACAAGAGCGGGAGCGGCCAAGGTTAGGAGAAGACAAGAAGCCAATGCCGGGAGCTGACAAGGGATCGCCCGTGACGGAGCAGAAGAAAAGCAAGAACGAGGACAAGGAGAAGGAAAAGGATAAAGGGAAAGAGAAGGGAAAGGACACATCGACACGTTCGAGCGCAGGGCTACAACAAGTGGCAGCGTTGAACAACATGGCTCTTCAGCAGACGAATGTGAATGTGGTGATGGACGGCCCAGTGCCAACGCCCCAGGCGAACGAAGGGCGGCCAGTTTTAGTAAGCGCCCCCTCAGTCAACGGCACGTCGGCACCGTACACACCCACGCTGGAAGCGCAAAGACACCTTCCACCCTCTTCCAACGGCAGCGTTACAACTGCCACCACGAGGCCCACAGCAGCAGCCAGCAAACCCTCTGGATCCTCGCGAAACCCTAAGCCGTCAACGAGCAAAGCGGATGAGGTTGCAAAGGACTTGAAGCGGTGCTATTTCCGCTCCATCTTCAAACCCCAGCCCGGAGACCAGCACACCGTGCAGCGAAATCATGCGTCAGCGGAGGACTTTCTCTACGGCGATAACAAAGAATGCAGGGCGATTTGTTTCCAATTTCCACCCGTTCATCGCAAGGAGCCCGAGAAGATTGACTTCGACTGCTTCAAAGAGTCGTACAAGTGGTTTGCATTCGACCCCATGCTTCTCTACGTTGACTTTGGAAAATTCAGGCGCGAATGGCCAGACGATCCTCGATCTGTAAAGAACCGTTCACTACAAGGGATAGGGAGGAGAGACTTGGTGGATTTCTTCGCCTGGTTGTACAAGGATAAGGGTGTGCGGAGTATTATCAAGGTCTCCGTCGACGACGAAGACGACGTCCCTCATTGTGATGATGGCATTGTAGCCTCCCTCAAACGCTTCGATATCGAAATTCTGGATTGGCGTAAGGCCGATTTATGCCCGCTGGCCATCCAACAAGCATGTAAGCGCTCACCGAATCTCCGGGAACTTCACCTCTGCTGGAGCGGAAATAATGCCATTTTACGATCCTGGAGTGCGCCGGATGGGTTGGCTTGTCTACCGGAGCTGGAGCAGATTCATATTTACGAAATCAAGGTACGTAGCCAAACCGCCCACAGACGAGACTGCAACTGATATGTGACGTAGCCGTCTCTTGATTCCCCAGAGCGCACAAAAGCGAATCTCAAAGACTTCGAGGTGCAATTAAACGACGCTCGACCATCCGAAGGGCAGGAAGGTGATGAGAAACTCGAACCCGAAGATAGGCACGTCAAAGTGGAAACACACCGATACAGTGACTTGTACAATCATGCGCATGGTGTCCAAAATCCTCTTGGCCAAGGTGCACACAGGCCACAGAGCGGGAAGAAGATCAATGAACACCAATGGCTAGATATAATGGATACCTTTGCCGGCGCTGTTCGTAAGGTGCAGGAGGAAAAGCTTAGCAACTTTCCTGATGGGTACCTGACTTGCTCAAAACTTCCCAAGGAGCTGTCCAAAGAAGTCACGGTAGCCCTCATTGACGACGGCGTAGATTTTATGCATCCGGCCATCTCCAAAAACCTTATGCCAGGTAGAAGTTTCGACAGTGGTTTTGGCTTTCACGATCGTCTAGGGAGCCCAGCTCCCTTTCACGGATCGACCACCGGCCATGGCACTTTTATGGCCTACATGATCCAGAGAGTGTGTCCTAGTGTCAAGATATTTGTCTATAAGATTGATGTTCTGCCCAAGGATAAAGACGGCGATGCCGTTACCTTTACTGCAAAAAGCGCTGCTGATGTAGGTCTTCCATGTCCGCATTCTATTTCCCTAGCGCATGCTGACTCCTTCTTAGGCCGTTGAAGATGCAGTGAAGCGGGGGTTTGATATCATTTCCATGTCGTGGTCCGTTCAGAGGAATGACAGCACAAATGAAGCGCTTAATAATACAGCCCACCTCAATCGTCTCAAAGCAAGCCTGGAAAAAGCTAGTAACAATCAGCAAGATGCGCAGGGGAAGTGGTTCGGCAAAGAGACGCTCCTGTTTTGTTCTGCACCTGATACGGGTGAGTCCAGCTCAAGGGACACCCATTATCCATTCAATTGCGACGGCATATCGAAGATATTCAGGATCGGCGCAGCACAAGTCACGGGCAAGCCGTATCCATGGACCGGCAACCAGGTCGAGTATATTCTCCCTGGCGAAAATGTGGGCATGAAGCCTTCCGACATGTTCCGGCCGAATGAGGACAAGGTGCTGCGGACTGGCTCTTCTGTCGCCACAGCGCTTGCCGCGGGGCTTGCGGCCATGATTATCCACTGCGTGAGGCTCGGTGCAGTGTACAACTTCCACAAGAACAATCGCATTGGCGTGAGTGAGCGATCTATTCGAGCAATTAAAACGTTTAAGGGTATGAAGGCCGCGTTTCAGACCATCAGCAAGAGTGATTGGGCAAAAGGCGATAAAAGCCTTGAGGTGGAAACCTTCTTTAAAGACGATGGAGACGAGCTGAGTAAGGACGCACCAAAGAGCGAGAAGGATAATGAACAGTGGAAAGAAGAAAAATGGGAGAATGTCGCGAAGATTGCGCGGAGCTTGTTGCATGATAACGTGGAGAAGGAGTATGCCAAGTGTTAGCTCGTAATTCTTTGGTACCTAGGCACACGCTATACAAATACAACTGTTACTTAGTATATGTCTATTCCGAGATATTCCATCATACGTTTATATGTTTTTCTGTCCGCTTGGTCCAAAAACAACTGAGTCTTACAGCCCCTCCCCAGGAATCAAAAAAGCCCAGGGAAATAATGAACCTCCATCCTAACTCTTACCTCCCCGATCAGCATTTTGCCCGCTTCGAAGCCATCATCCTCACGATTCCTTACGCTTCTATCAATGATGCTCTGATCCCCCACCTGAGTAACTCGTGCCTTGATAGGTTGCCTTTCTTGATATACCTCAAACACTTCCATGCGGAGCCTAGCGCCCTCTGCTATCCCAAGGTTTGCGCGTTGTCGGGCTTTTTGCTTGTGCAGGAAATTGTCCATGGCACTTTCTGGCTCGTTGGATTGGTCCAATTCGGTCGCGATTCGAGATAGTAAGTGACGTGTTCTGATAGCATTTTAATGCGACTGGCTACGCTTTGTCACCGGATAAATTCGGAGTGCACTCATGGTTACGGGTAAGTTCCAGGCTTGGTAGGATGGTATCGTTCGTTGTTAAGGAATTGGTTTCCTGGCTTGGTGGTAGAGTGCGTCGCCGTTGCCACAGTGAGGCTTCGGATAAGATGTTGGTCGAACTTTCAGTATTGATGCGGTACTTGAGGGTACATGCAGAGAGTTTGTGGCTTTTTAAGCAGTCTCTGCTCAGAGGTCTCTCACAGTCATTTTAGGGATCAATACGGTCGGCAGAACGTGATCCTGTATCGTGGGGACTGTCTACGGCTTTGAAATAGTTTTTGCAGTTGATACATTACTCTATATGACACAAAACGAAGCGGGAACTGGAACGGTGTGAGTAGGATAGACCGACTCCACTACGAGTTACTGATACTAGTATATTTTGGTGGGGGGCGGCCCCGGCTTGGCAGAGTGAGTGGCTCGCTCGTGAGTCGCCCGCCCATAAAATACGTTACACCCTCTCGACGCCCCTAGAATGGCCACCGTAATCGTCTTCGGCCCCACAGGGAACATTGGCTCCATCACCGCCCAAACCGCCCACCAGAATGGCGCCAAAGTCTGGCTCGCGATGCGCGACCCCGCCAAGGCCATCCCAGGCCTCACCCCCGCCGCCGAGAAAGCCGGCAATTACTCGCGCATCCACGCCGACCTTAGCAAGCCCGACACCGTCGCCACGGCCGTCAAGACCGCGGGCGCCACGCGCGCCTTCATCTACGTCGCTCGGGGCACGCCCGACCATATGAAGGGCACCGCCGAGGCGCTTAAGGCCGCCGGCGTCGAGTTCGTCGTGCTGCTAAGCAGCTTTACGATCGGGCATACTTCGCCGGCGGACGTGCAGCCGAGCGAGTCTATCCCGTACGCGCATGCGCGGGTCGAGGTTACACTGGATGAAGTCTACGGGCCAGATGGGTATGTGGCTGTGCGTCCCGGGGGGTTTGCCACGAATTTGTTGCGGCAAACGGAGGGGATTCGCGCCGGGGAGGTCAAGATGTATGGGCCAGGGTTCAAGACTGATTGCGTTACGCCCGTGGATATGGGCGGAGTGAGCGGGACGATTTTGGCTGAGGGGCCGCCGCGTGATGGGCAGCGCAAGGTCTTTTTGTATGGCCCGCAGATTCTGTCGCAGAAACAGGCACTGGAGATTATTGGCGAGGTACTAGGGAAGGAAGTCAAGGTTGCAGGAATTGGCGCGGAGGAGGCGCTGGCGGAGTACCTTGCTAAAGGTGCTCCCAAGCCAATGGCGGAGTATATGATTAGGGCGGTAGGGGACACAGACCCAGAGTTGGAAGATGGTTCGTGGCTGGCGCATTATAAGGAGGGCGTGGAGAATGTGAGCAAGTATACGGGGAAGCCTGCCACTGGGTTCCGGGAATGGGTTGAGGCAGACTCGGAGCTCTTCAAGTGAGCCTGGGGATTTGGAGGGGGCGAAGGATTCATGCAAAGCTGAGAGCCACTGCTGTCGTTACTGATAGACTGGCCACGCAGGCAGTAGGTACACGCCCGATGCTCTGTACGCGGGGGGTGTAGCTCCCACTAGCAGCACAGCAAATTGGCCATGCGAGATATCAATCAAATCCTCACTACTCCATATTCATCTCTCACAGACAGTCAGTGGCCATGTGCGTATCTCGTGCTAGAACGAGACTCCTACTGTGGATTTTATACACCACCGTCACGTACAGCAAGGCCAATGCTAGATGCCGCAATAAGCGGACTACACAGTAGATTCGTTAAACAAAGAAGCCTCTCATTTCGCAAACTCAGATATCAAAAAGCCCCTAGAATGCTCCAAATACATTTGGGCTGGTAACGAACGAAGGCGTTTCGGTTCAACCTGTGGCACAAGCTCGTGCAGCTCTTCCGGAGTTTTTGCACCCTCGCCCACCTCGTGCCATTCCTGATACAGCTGTACATTCGACCCAATTTTCAGGGCGGCCCAGCATGCGTCAGTTCACATCAAAGGAGGTGAAGGCCACTTCCCCCAGGCCGTGTTCACATCCGGTGGCCACGATGCCCCGGAGAAGTATTCCTATAGCTGCGCTAAGGGATCATAGCTTAAACAAAGCATGTGGCCACGCAGATTTGAAGTCAGCTCAAAATAGGCGCAACTTGGCGAAGCGGAAGAGGAAGACAACGAGACAGTTGGTCATACACCTTTGGGGCGCTGTATACTAGAATCCATCAATTAACGAACTGTGTCCACCAGGGGAGATTATTCCAAGCTATCTAACTCAAGTTCGGGAATGTCGCCCATGGTTTCTTGAGAAACGGCTACCGAACTGATTCATGCCTTTGCGCCGCATTGCCATCCAAATACATGATGCAGGCTGCGCCTGGCGTACAGCAAAGAAGATGTTACGAGTGACGAGCATCTACTGCAAGCTGAACCCGAGCGATAAAGAACGGCGGTATCCTAACGTTAGAGCGAACCCAACGCGTTTCTAGGACGGCACCAAGATACAGCTCCTTAAATTAGTCTATAACAAGGCCTTCCTCGAGGCACTGGAATACTTTCTTCGCGCGGTCGTTTGCGGGCGATCATCTTGAGTGAACTAGGCCGGATTTTGTTGCAATCAGCCTTACATCTAATGGCCATTTCCGCACTGATTCTATTTTTAGACGGACCCACTGCGAGATCCGCCAGGGGCCGGATCTACAAGCCATTTCTCCAGGCTGTGCTCAACGTGCGATACGACGCATGAATGAAGAACCTGAACGTAGTCGAAATATTGCAAACAGTATTAACCCGCTCTAGCAGAGTGTCGTTACTATAGTCTATGTAGTCATGTCAGCCTACTGTGGCTATGTAGACTAGTAGCCTTGGTACTAATGCGTATTGACCGCGAAGACGCCGTAAACCTCGCAAACTATTGCAGGTGTAAAGAAATCGAAAATCCATCGGAACACCGGCGTCAATTAGCGGAAACCTAGGACTTGGTAACAATTGCTACAGAAAGAGTCTGCGATGCGTAGTTGAACGCCTATTTTGTTTCAACCTAGCGGTCGCGATGGCTTCCTCTTTCCATCTAGGTATCATCAAACGCATTACAATCCTTTGGACTGCCGGACAATTGATGGCCTCGTCGACGATCATGCCATCACCATGAATATCAATACGTCACATATGAAGAAGGGAATTTCAGTTGTAGGGACCAGGTATAAATAGGGAGACGGGTCATCAAGCAGTGAAACCATCATCCTCGCTGACGACCACCACGTCTCTTTTGCCCAAGTCTTCCTGCCTCCAACACCCACGTGGAAATACGACCTCACTCTGTGTTCACGCACCATAGATCACGACAACGATCGCACCATGAAGCCTTCCACCATCCTCGCTCTCTCTTGCAGCGTGATACCCGCCCTCGCGGCCCCCAAGTACGAGGTACTCCGTATGGAATCCAAAGTCGAACGCCAAGTCTCCATCGGCTGGACCATTTGGATCGGGGTACGCTCTGGGCTCGCCGTGTGCTCGGGAATTCCACCGCCCTGCCAGTTGCAAACCACCTGGGTTGTGCCTAACAACCTCGATAACATCTGCGACCGGTTTGGCACAGGCTCTCCCTTTCCGCAACCGTCCTCCGACGCGCAATACTGCGGCATCGAATTCGGGGACCCTGACTTTTGCAACGCAGCCTTGTTCCACATGGACGTGGCCCAGGACGGCGACTGCCCTCTTAACGGCGGGGAAGGCAATATACGTTTCGCGGGCCTGTATGACGCTGATAATGTTCTTGTGGGGTCGTGCGAGAAGACACAGGATGTTGATGGCCAGGAGTGCGTGCAAGCGAGTGGAAGTTCAGTCCTTACCTCTTTGCTCAAATGTACGGTCGACTACGCTGAAGGCCGCTGCAACGCTATTTAGGGTATCTAGGAGGCCAGGGTGATGGGATCGGAAGGCTCTCATGACGTTGTGTTGAGTCATACGAGCGGACGTGTGGAGGGATATATACGACATATTCGTAGACGGGACTCTGCTCCCGAGGAATTGTACATCAGCGGACATACGCTCTTGTCCTATGTAATTCATACTATCTCATCGAAGAATTCAACGGATGCCGACAGCAATTTACAACATTTGACCGTGTCTTTTTCTCCACTGTACGACTCACGATGCTGCTCTTAGGCCGCGTCCTGCTGTACCGCAGGTACGTGATAAACATGTTTCCGACCGATTCTCCAGCCCCGAATAGCCCCATTGCATGAACTTCATGCCACTTTGCGCGAGACTCTTCTCAGCGCTGCCAGAGAAGTCACACACCCTTCAATTTGTCGGCATCTAGGCAGCAGCGGGGGACATATGTGTATATGAACGACGCTTTTATGTTCATGCTATTTATCTTCTCACAAGCGTCCAGTATTATACCATCTTCTCCTCATCAGGAATCGACTATCTGATCCATGAACGATGTCAGAAAGAGTCTGAATCGCTTGAACACAGGAAGGAAACTCAGCCAGGCGCCAGCGTTGTTTCCAACCACCTTTGCGCCGACTGCAAAGCCGCTATGAGATTATCACGGGTATGCGACTTCAAGCTGAGTGCTTTCGCAAGAGGTTTTAGTTAGAGACGCCCCATAAGGGGACTGAAGGCGATGTTCTACTTTCTGTTGCTGAGGAATGTCCTTCATGCTCGTTGCCATACGGAAAGCTCTCGACCAATGGCGATCCGAACCATTCCATATGCAATAATGACACGGATGACTGCAAGACTACATAGCAAACTCAGTCAAACACTTCGAAATTTCCCATCGCGAGTATCTACAGGACCTGATGTTCCCTCACAGAGGTCACGAGTACAATTACTCATCGTTAAGAGTGTGCAACCACGCACGGGGAGGCGTCACGGGTGCAGCTCATCTCTGTCCAGCGCATCATCATATGACTGGAATCGAAAAACATGGGCAGGACGCTCGCACCACTCTGGATCAGCTTGTCCGTCTTTGCGATTTGCCCGGCCATGGTCTGTGCCTCCTCTTCGTGCAGCTGCTTGGTGAGCTACCATTCCGTCAGACGTGCGCTTACTTTGCTGACAGCTGTATGAAATGCATCAGGCTTGGGCATGTATCTGGTTGTGTATACGATGAAATACCGCTGCCGCCCAGAAGCTAGGAAGGAAGACTGTAGCTTTACGTGACGGTAGGGCGTGACGGATCCTGCCTTGAGATGCAAATGCTTTATACATATAAACATATATAAGTGCTACAAGATCATGGTAGTGCAAGAAGAACCTTTCTCAGCCTACCGTAATCCGCCGATCCTAATCCCGAAACCGGATCCCAACCTTTCTTAGCCGGGAACCCGATAGTGCCGCAACCAGGGTTTGAACCCGTCGTAACATCGTTGAAAGCCTTTGGGTTGGCATACAGCACTGGGTTGACGAAACCCACGGTTTTCTTCCCCTTCTCCAGTCGTTCTTCGTTAATGCGCGTGAGAATGGACGCGAATAGCGGAGAAGACGCAGAGGTGCCTCCGATGAGGAGGGGGCGCAGGTTGCCGACAATAGCGATCTTGTCACCAAGGGCTGAGACGTCGGGGTAGCCGCGACCGGCGCGGTTGTAGATGCCGCCGTTGGCGTTGAAGCTGGCGTTGTTGATGGTTTGGTAGTAGGGGTAGTTGACGGGTCTTTGCGCGAAGTAGCCCGCCACGGCGGGAATCTGCCACGGGGCATCTAGATCGCGGCCGTAGATGTTGGAGAAGCCTCCGCCAGAGCCAAAACGTGTGGTTGGAACCTCATTGCCGGCTTCGAACGTGGTGGTGTTTTGAATGACGGTGGAGCCCACGGCGGTTACTGTGATTGATTAGCACTCACGAGGATAAGTCGAAGAATATGACAGCAACTCACTATACGGGCAGGTAGCAGGAAACTGCGGCGCGAAAACCGTGTTGTCTTTTCCGAGACAGTTGCTAGGAGTAGGATCACCTCCACGTCCCTCGACACCGGAGTCGCCAGAGGAGTTGATGACACTGACACCTTGGAGACCGAGCTTCATGATCTCGGTGCATTGACGGCGCTGGTAGTTGATAGGAAGGTCCGCCTCGGCACCACCGTAACTGATCGAGATGACGGGGGTGGGCTTGTAGACTCCACACTGTAATTTGCCCTTGTAAGCGCCGGGCGCGTTACTGGGGTCTGGGTAAGATGGATCTAATGGGGAGTTGCCCTTCTCGCCGTAGGCGCTGAAGGAGCAGTAGCTTCCGTCAATCGCGTCGAAGAAGTTGTTCAAAAATCCCTGGAATGTGTAATTCTTCTCATAGACAGGGTCATCAGTCTGGAATAGAACAGAGTTTTGGGGGTAGATGATCGGGTACGAGATCTCGAAGTCGAGTGCGGATTCGAGGCCAGCTACTGCCGGTGAGACAGGTGCAACGGCACCATCAATAAGATCCAGTTTTGGCTGCGTGCCGTTTTTAATGTATGGCGCATAGAGCGTGAAGAAAGCATCTAGATCTTCCTGAGCAAAAACATCGTTCAGGTCCTCGAATATTCCGAGTTCGTTTCCGGGCGTCGCTTTGGTACCCTTGGGGATGTTATACAGGGCTAAACGGATTAGCGACAGGCGTTAGTAAGGCTTGAAAACAGGACTGACCAGCAATACAAGGTGGAGTAACAACGTTGTTGCAATTGGTCAAGTTTGCTTCTGCAACCGCAGCAAGCGTATGAAGATCGAGCTTATTACCGTCTACGTTCTCTGGCATGGGCAAAGTAAGAACAGGTCGCTTGAATCTTGCGGCACCTTCAGCTCGCTTCTTCAGCAGAGCTTTAGGTGCTGGAAGTCCCGAGTCCGTAGTAAGCTTCACGCCAGGGGTGATGTAGTCGATGTGGCCCTGGATGGAAACCGGCACATGGTATCTACTCATTCAGATGGTGGAACTGGCTGGTCGTTGGAACTGTTTCACTCACTCATCACAAGCAATGTTCGTTTTGCCAGTAGAAGTATGCTCGTAGGCGTGATACTTCGTCTTGAAAATCTTTTCGGCCTCGGCTGCGGTAGCATCGAACTGCAGCCATTGCTTGTTGGCGGACAGTCCTATGTTTTCCGACACGATGCCAGATTCCTCAAGCCAAGCTCTAACTGCAGCGACTGCATCCGCAGACGGAGCAAAGAAGTCGGTGACTTCCTCAAGGGTCCAATGCTGGCCGTACTTGGGTGACTCGGGGTGCGATCTATTCATGTTAGTGGAGCACGCTATGCACGTTACGGAGCGTGATCTCACATGTCGATGAGCGCTTGTCGACCGGCCTCAACGTTCTTTTGCGTGAGGCCAACACGCATAGGCAAGACTGTACGAGCATCGATAGTTCCCACTTTCTGCCAGGACCCGACTAGCGTTGAACGAGACTCGTGCAGGACACGGTGCGATGCTGGCACGGCATGAACGCCGCTCAGGGCGGCCGTGAGGACCACAAGGCTCTGGAACAGCATGTTGTCTTTGGCAAAGCGAGCGAGTGCTGTGACCACTGGATGAGCGACTCACTGGTGGTATTTGTAGTCGCGGAATAATAATGGCGTTCGGTCGCGTCGACACGCGAGCATCTCGGTCGCCCACAGAGGAAGGTCGTTTGTGCATCGATGATGCAAACGAGTGTTGCTAGAATGCGAGAGTGCTAGCAATACGAGGTGTGTGCTGGGTGTCTGCTATGGTCCTTCCTGATGCGGGTTAAGTCTAGTGTGGCTCATTGGACAAGAGAGCGATATTTCCGTTATCGCTAGTGGCAGAAGGGCCGCGGGGGCGTTTTCTTATCCTTAGCCGTGACTTAAGAATGCTTGAGTAGTCTTCACGTTGCTTAACGAAGCTTGAGTGCCATGGAAAGCTAGATTCACTTGGGTGAGAATGGCCAGACTGGGACTCCGGCTCCGGTGATCGTTCATCGGTCCTGTCGACCAGTACTACGGTATGAGCTCTGATAACATGGAAAGATTGTCTAAAGCTTGGGTGGAGTTACTCAAAATTGTCCTCCACTGGGCACGGTGTTTCCGCGAACATCAAGGGCCATGCAACACTTCCATTCTTCCCGCCTTTCGGAGATCTTTCCCAGGTCTCTGTGATCTTTCGAATAGGGGAAGGTTCGTGAGGCGCTACGCGCCCCTGCCTAGCAGGGTGTAGAACTTAGCATCAAGAGCTAAACCCAAATCGATTATCGATAACGTAGGTGCCTATCGTCCGCCGCGGCGACGGCATCTATGCCTCAGACTCATGTAACTGGATGTGAGCACTAGCACCATATCGATAGCTTTCTTGATCATATCTTCGAAGGCCTTCATACCGCATCTCGGTAACGTGCATGGCAAAATGCACCTCTGGAAGCTGGATTTGGTACACCAAATGTACACAGTAGAATGGATCGTGAAGACTGCTCTTACGTAATATAGCTCGTTGGCAAGCCTACTTAGCTATATGTTAACATCGTCTTCAGTGAAAGTTGGGCTGGAGAGCAATGCCTGGCCTTACAACGTAGTAAGTGGTTTTTTGTTCATGTGAGCTTTACTAATAGCTTGAAAAAGGCCATGAAAGGCACCTTGATAGTGCCAAAATCTGGCGGCTTTAGTTTCACTGCCGAACCAAGTTATGCGCTTTGAAATCGCCGCCAATATTCATTAGCCTTGACCCAGTAGCTGTAACGGATTGTGATGAAAGGAAGAATTCAGTCTACGGTCTGCATCACCAGCGGCGCTTATTCCTCATCATGTCAGTCTCGTTGTCTTCGATTCAGGATGGAAGGGAGCTCGAAACGAACCTGGATGACCCAAGTGGCTAAATCGGGTTGGCCCAGATCTTTAATGATGAAGGCAACGGTTGAAGGCACGGCCACAGAAGACTAGATATGTCTGAATAGACTGATATCGTCAGCTGAAATGTATCTGAGAGTCTTATGAGACGTTGTACTCACCCCTAGAAGGCCGGTATGAACACCCTGAGCCACGTCCGCTATCCGCGCTATAGCCTCGACAATATTCACGGCTTCGATCTCGATTAGAAAGGTCTGTTCGTTAGCTTCGGTGCTCTTTGGAGGATAAAGTGGATGCAACAATGCTACGGCGTCCTTATTCCTAATATGATGCGATGCCATGGTTGGATACTAAGACCACAGAGCAGGACTCGCTGATGTGCCTTTCTATTTGGGCGCCTACCTAATGATTTATGTCCTCAAAGACAGTCCGGACTGCTCTCTTCAGGGCTGTAGGGCGACAGGTCCTCAGGGTGATGTCTGGGGAAAACGTGGGGTACACGAATGATTAGCGGCATTGCAAGAGTGACCTGAGTCGTCTGGTATGGTTCTGCTCGCAAACGGTGTTATTCCGCTCGCAGACGGTATTGTTCCACTGACCTGCATGTTTCCGCAGCAGCCTCGGCAATTCTGAACATATATCAATAAGCCATTCGGCCGTAAGGAACGCGTTTGTATCCATTCGGTCCGTTGTGACCTTTGAATAAGCGCGGGAGTTAGAATCGGCTTTCGATTAATATAACACTGACGCGGTTCATGGAGATTTATACGCAGAAGTCGAGTAGCCATCTCACGCTCTTAAGCGTGCGAGGAAGGTAGGCGCGGACGTTCTCTTCGAAGATCTAGTTAACTGAAATCCCTCTTGTTTAGGGCTTCATTGCCAAATTGGTGGCTTGTACTGCTATCTTGCCTCCTAGTGAGTCGACCACGTAGTGTACTCTTAGGAAGGACGTACGCTCTGGTAGCTACTCGTTGGCTTGGATATCAGCTTTCAAGGAAATGAATCATAGCGTAATTGAATAAATGTTCCCGAGTAGCCATCTTGACGCGTTGTATGAAACGAAAAGTGGACGGTAGGGCTGGTTGCGCATGCGGGAGAACCCCCGCTAGCTTATGTGGATCAACTTGGCCGCGTACCTTCCCACCCCCACATTGCGATGAGTGGCCAATTTTAGTATGGTCGCACCCTTGCTCCATCGCCTATGGAATAGAAGATTATGGGCCGAGGCTACTCATGGCGGGTGGATTCCGCCTACCAAGCCTAAAGCTCGTACACGACTCCCATGATACCTTAGGAATTCTACCGGTTCGTATAAATTATTTGTTATAACTACTAAGGTGCGGTCTTGTGGGTGGCTACACACATATCCCTCAGACTCTGTTCATGTTCTACCAATCCCAGATATAGACCAAACGTGTCTTCCTCATCATAACCAAACACTATGTCTTCTGCCCCAAATCTTTTTAAGGACAATATCCGACCGGAGAATACCCTTATTCCAGATGTTGTCCTTAACGATCCAGCCAATCGACGAATCAAGGTCATCGTTATTGGCGCCGGCCTGGGAGGCATCATGCATTCGTACAATATGGACAAGCAGTGCGCCAACGTGGAGTACGTGGTGTACGAAAAGAATCCCGACATAGGAGGAACCTGGTTCGAGAACCGGTACCCAGGGTGTGCCTGCGACGTGCCAAGTCATTGCTACTCCTACCATTTCGCCCCCAATGTGAATTCTCTAGTTCAATTCGCTAATTAGCAGCGAAGCTGACTCCACTGCAGCCGGAATGGCCAAATTTTCTATCAAGCAGAGAGGACATTTGGCAGTACTTGGATCGTATATGTAAAGTTTTTGACCTGAGACGCAACATGAACTTCAATTCTGAGGTTATTGAAGCCCGCTGGGACGACGACCGTGCTATTTGGCGGATCAGAGTGCGCCAGACGAGACCAGACGGAATGACAAGAGTCTTTGAAGACACGTGTGACGTTCTTTGGTACAATGCAGCTTTGCTAAACCAGTGGAAGTGGCCGCAAGTGGACGGATTGCACGACTTCAAGGGGCGGATCATGCACTCGGCGAATTGGCAAGGTGACTTCAATCAAGAAGCTTGGGCGGGGCAGAGAATCGCTATCCTTGGCTCTGGGGCCTCTTCTTTACAAATTGTTACCGCAATGCAGCCACATGTTGCACGGCTGGATGTTTTTGTGCGCACGGCAGGTTTCCGTCTCTCCATTGAGAAGGCTATGACTAGAGGCTAACCACATGGCAGGGAATTTGGTTTGCACCAATCGTGGACGCTCATCCTGCCGATTATGTGTATTCGGAGGAGGAGCTTGAAGCTTTCAGGAAGGAGCCGGTGAAGATGCAAGAACATGCCAAAGCCATGGAACAGAATATGAATTCGAATTATCTGACTTTATGGGCGAACAGCGACGAACAGAGGAATGCTAGAGATGCCTTGGAGAAGTTGCTGGGTGATGAGTTTCATGATAAACGGCTCCTTAAAGGTGCCATCTCCTCTCTCGCACGTTTTCCAGTCCATGCAGCTGATAATTACCAGGATATATGCCCGACTTCTCTGTTGGTTGCCGTCGCATCACACCGGGAATACCCTACATTCGCGCCGTCCAGCAGGAAAACGTCGACGTCCATTTCACACACGTCACTAAGATCGTTCCTAACGGCGTCGTTGGAGCAGACGGCGTACTTCGAGAAGTCGATGCCATTGTCTGCGCTACCGGCTTCAAAACCACGTTCCGCCCTCGCTTCCCCTTCATTGGCAGGAATGGCATCAACCTCCAAGACAAATGGGCAGAGGAAGCTACAGCTTTATTCGGGTTGACGATCCCTGACATGCCCAACATGATCATACACGGCGGACCACCCGGCCCACTTCAGAACGGCACCCCGCTGGGTGCTTTCCACGCGTTCTCGGACTTCGGCATCGCGCTGATCCAGAAGATCCAGAAAGAGAACATTCGCGCTATTTCTCCAACCTATGAGGCGCTCAACGAATTCTACAATTACATCCAGTCGCTCATTGGGCTTACTGTCTTCGCAGACAACTGCCGCAGCTGGTATCGGGACAACAAGACGGGTAAGGTGACCAACGCCTACCCGGGAAGTGCGCTGCACTTAATGGAATCACTCAAGGCACCGCGGTGGGAGGATTTCGACATCAGGTATTGGAGCAAGGATCGGTATGCATGCTTGGGCTACGGGCTCGTGAAGGGACTGAAGCAGCCCGGTTCGGACCTCACGTACTATCTGACGCCAGATAAAATTGACACTAAATGGTTGAAGTCCGTGGAACAGGCGCGTAAGCATGGTTGGAATTCTGTTATCGGCACGACCACGAATGGGTCCCCTAATGAGGTGATTAAAGGCGTTACGAATGGGGCTACTAATGGCATTTAGAGATTACAGAATTAACCCTTTATTAAAGAATTAATTCTTTCTTTTTATCTATTATTATTTAACTACTTCTAAGTACGTTTATAAGCTCTATAATTATAGAGACATTTCTTAATAAGGGAAAGTAATTAAAGCTAATTTTTCTTATATATAGACTTTACTAAAGTATAATACTACTAATATTATTAAATCTAGAAAGGGTAGCTAGTCCTAAATAGGTTAAGGTTAGTTCTTAGGCAAGACTTACTAAGGGAAGGAAGAAGGGGTTCTTATTAATATAGAAGTATCTTACAAAGTGTAATAAGTTAATAAGGGGCCTAAGTGAATCCAAACGATAGATTAAAACTTAGGTTAAATATAAGAATTAATAGTAATTCTTCTATTTCTATATACTTAATTATATATAGCTACTTACTAGTAAGCGCTTACTAGAGAGTGCTCTCTAGAAAGTGCTCTCTAGAGAGTAGTTACGTAACTTCCTAAAGCGCCCTAATCCTTAAATAGGCATTGCCTATAGTTAATATATACTTATCTAGAGGCTCTACTATATAATAGGCTATCCTACTACCTATTAGATTCTAGATCCTAATATTACCTCTCCTCTTTCTAAGATTTGTCCTAAATCTTATAATCTCTTATATAAGCTACTACTTACCCTACTTACCCTTCTACTATTATTAGCGCTATGCCTACTAACTCTACTATCCGTAAACATCGTCTTTATAAAGAAATTCTTAGTGCTAACACTATTATAGAGGAACCCTATGTTAATTATAACCTAGAGAATACTATATGTTATATTATACTAAACTTAAGTTTAAAGTATACTAAATATACTTACATAGGTTATCTATACGTAAATATAAGCTAGGCTTCCCTAGATAAGACTTACAAAGAGTATAAAAAAAAAGTAGAGGAAGATAAGAAAGAGTTAGCTATAGTAATTATGCATATATTACGTAATAAGAAAATACTAGCTTAGGCTAAAGAGCATACTCATAAGAAAATAATATATCTTACTATAGAAATGTTATCTAAGGGTAAGGATATTAATTTAACTATAGTTAACTATCCTATAGTAAATATATTAACTAGGTATTCTAGTGCCTTATAGTCTACTCTAGATTAGGTAGAACAGATGTCTCTTCTAGGGACATAATACTATTTATAGGTGTATTACTTAATTATTACTATAGAGTAGCTTTCGTCTCCCCTAAAGCCGTTTCTAGTTACTCTAGTATAGTTATAGTAGTTATGGATTTTTTTCCTTACTTATTTAAGAAGCTGCTAGTAGTTCTTTCTTAACTTACTTTTAGGTTCCTATATATTCTCTAAGTGTGGGTAACCTTTCTACTTAACTAACTATTCTTATAGGAATCTATTATCCTAGAAGTCCTTTCTCCCTATTTTACGGTATTCTAGGAGTATTTTAACTTTAAATTTGGTTTCTTCCTCTAGTTAGTAATAGAAGGTGGTTTTAACTAGTGTCTTAGGGTCTGCTAGTTCTAATAATAATATATAGAATATAGAGTATATCTTTATATTAGGTAGTAACTCTAGTTTATAGTTAACTAGTAATATCTATTTAGAAATATAAAATAGTCTAACCTTAATATAATCTAGTTTCTTATACTTCTTCTTTTAGGTTTAAAGATTCTTTATAAACAGATATACTTTATCCCCCTTTTTTAGCTAAGGTGCTATTTTTCGTTTTTAATTTAAGTAGGAAATAGCTTTCTATTAAGCTTTCTTAAGGTTTTCTTAGAGTTTGTTATGTATTTTTTCTATATTATCTACTATATCTATGGCTTCTTTTACGTTAATATTCGTTGGTAGTTATTAGTTAAAGAGATTTAGATATTTTCTATATATAGCATAATAAGGTGTTTGCCCTATTACTATTAATACCTTATTATTATGTGCCAATTGTGCTATAGGTAGTAGTGAAACCTAGTTATTTTTCTATTTATTATAGTATATTTATAGATATATTTCTATAGTTTAATTTATTCTTTCTATTTTTCTATTTATCTGTGGATAATATGCCGTGGATAGTTTTTATTTTATTCTAATAAGTGCTATAAATGTTATCTAGAAGTTTAATATAAAGAGCTTATCTCTATTACTAATAATTATCTTTAGAATGCTATAGTGTCTAACCCACTTATCTTAAAAAAGATAAGCTAGCTCCTTAGTTATTATATTCTTTAGACATGGAATTAATTCAACATAGCTTATAAATTAATATATAATTACCAAAATGCTATTATATAAGGTTTTCGTGGCTGGGTTAGTTAAGTCTAGTATTTCTATAATAAAGTCCATAGTGATGTCTTTAAAAGGTGCTATTAGTATTCTAATTAGTTATATTTCTCTATACTTAAAGTGTGTACCATATTTGTTTTTCTAGTAGTCTATATATTTATAGATATATACTATTATAGCTTTCTTAATTCCTCTAAACGTATAGTTCCTCTAAATTAATTCTAATGTTTTTGTAATGCCTAGGTGTCTATACGTTAGGTTATCGTGGTATTATTTAATAATCTTAGTTTGTAGTTACTTTAGTACTTCTTAGTTTATAACTAAAAGTTAATTAAGTTCTGCTATTAGTTTAAGAGATCCGTTTTTATTTTTATAAAGAATTACTAAGTAGGTCTTAACCTTCTCTCCTACTAGATTACTTTATCTACTAAGTGCATCTGCTTATCTATTTTCCTTTCCTACTATATAAATAATTTTAAACTTATATTATCTAGTGGTCTATAACCATCTTTACTATTGTGGTGTTAGTTCTTTTATTATTATAAACCTGAGTAGGTTTTTATAATTCGTGTAGATTTCTAGTGTTAAATAGCTAAGAGCGTATATTCTCTAGTGTTTTAAGACTTTAATAATAGCGTAGAGTTCTTTATCGTGTACGTTATATTATGTTTCTACGTTATTAAATTTGCATGAGTAGTAGGCTATTAGGTGCTATTTACTATTTTATTCTTATTTTATACATGCTCCTAGTGCGAGATCGCTTATATTAGTTTTAAATTATAGTAGTTCGTCGCTCCTAAAATAAACGAGAACTAGTTCTATAATATATACTATTTTAAGGAGTTAGAATAATATTTCACACTTATCTATCTATTTAAAAGGCGTGTCTTTTCTAGTAAGGTTTATTAATAGTATTATAACCTTTACGTAATCTTTAATAAACTATTAATTAAATCTATAGAATTCTAAGAATTCTTAGATATTTTTTATAGTTTTTAGTATAGGCTAGTTCCTAATACTCTCTATCTTACTTAGTGCTATCTTAATTCCTTCCGTAGTAACGATATATCTGAGGAATTCGAGTTATTTAACGTTAAATTAGTATTTCTTAAGTTTAATCCTTAAGTGTGCCTTATCTAGTGCTTTTAGTACTGTCTATACGTACTTAGTATAGTTAGATTTATTTTTAGAAAAGATAAGAATATTATTTATATATATAATAATAAATATATCTAAATGTTTATAGAGTATGTTATTAATAAGTGCCTAAAAGGTTACTAGTGCGTTAGTAAGTCTAAAAGGCATTACTAGGTACTTAAAGAGTCTATAGTATAATTAAAATACTATCTTCTATTCTTTACCTTTCTTTATTCTAATTAGGTGGTATCTATCTTATAAGTCTATTATTATAAAAACTTTTACTTATAAGAGTCTATCTCTAAGCTCTAAGATATTAGGTAATAGATATCTATTTTTAATTATTATATTATTAATTACTTAGTAGTTAATATATGGTTTGTCTAATCTATCCTTCTTTTTAACAAATATAAAAGGGCTTACTACTAGTAACTTTAATAGTCTAATATATTCTTTTACTAGGTTTATCTTAATAAATTTATATTCTTTCTAGAGTTCTTCTCCTATCTTACTATATAGTAGTCTAAAGGGTGGCGTCTTCCCTTCTTCTAGGTTAATTATATAATTCTAGGATTAATATTCTAGTAGGTTTACTTTTCCTTTCTTTTCTATAAATATATATGTCTATGCTTTATACTCTCCTAGTACCTTTAAGGGTATGCTTTTTTCCTTCTTCTTATACTTTATAACCTAGTGGTTCCTACTAGCGTCTACTAAGGGTTATTTCTATTTTTTAACTTTCTATTACAAGTCTATGTTATTAATAACACTCTTATCTACTGTTAATCTCTATTATCGCGTAGGCTTAGCTTATAATATATATTTATAGCGTTCTAAGGATAGCGTTCTTAAACCCTAATTAATATATAGGTTATACTTCCTTAACTAGGGTAATTCTAATATAATATTATGCCTAGACCTATCTAGTACGTTAAGTGTAATTATCTCCCTATGTCTATAGATCTAAAGTATAGTAGTAACTTTATAAGTAATATATAGCGTATTTGGCATTTAACTTCTATTTATAATATAAATAGGATATGCTTCGTCCTTAAGCGTTGGCTAGAGTCCTACTTATAGTGCTACTTCTTAGGATACGAAGTTTTCTAATATACCTAAATCTAATAGTGCCTTAATCTATATTTTGTTAAGCTAAACTAGTAGCTTAATTAATACCTTACTATTAATGGTATTTAACTCTCTAGTAGTATCTCTTTACCTATCTATAAGTCTTTAAGGGTTTCTTAGGCCTTAGGGGCTAGGATTTAGTCTAAAAAAGAACTATTTTTAGGAGCTAGGTAGTCTATATTCCCCTTTTATTATTCCTTTTACTCCTACCCTTCTCTTCTTCTACTATAGTTATTCTTCTACTATAGTTTCTCTTTAGAAGCTTTACCTTTCTATACTATACTTATTTCTATTTAAATATTAATAACTATCCTTAGTTAGTTAGGGTTCTTACCAAATCTATAGATACACTTATTATTCTAGTGTCTACTATAATTAATATTTAAGTAAGTTTACTATCCGTCTTAGGTGTATATTCTATTATAGAGCGTACTAGTTACTATATTTTATACGTTATTTATACTTAGAAAGTA